GTCTTCCACATCCCCAGAGCCTCCAGCCTAGCTCAAACTGACGCAGAGCTCATCCCCATCCCGAGACACATCAACAGCCCCCAGTGACCTGTCTCGCCCCCTCCCATCTGGCTGAGCAGCGATTCTTGTGTTCAGACAAGGTCCTAAGTCCTTGACCTTCCGGCAAAGCCTGTCATCGTCAGGGCCTAACTCACTTCCCCAGTCGTCTCACGTTGCTCCCTCCATCCCCAATAGAGCGCTCTGGTCAAACTGATGGATTCGCTGGCCTTTGGACATGCCTCTGTTCGAAGTGCCCACCTCTCTGCTTTTGCTTTACTTTGTTCTGTTCAGCCAGAATGCTCTTCCCACCCTGAGAGTACCAACTAAATCATATCCGTCAAGACTCAATTCATGGAAGCTGCCTGCCTAGGCCAGCCTATCCTTAAGTGAGTTCTTCATTTTACATTTCTAGCAATTGCCATTCTTTTGATGACTGATCCTGCACAACCTGTGACATCTCCTTTATTATCATCACAAACTGTTACTTAAATCTTCAATGACCTGGACCTCCCAGGTCTCCACAACAAGTGTGTTACCTTCTGAGGGGCAGGGGACTGTGTCACCCACAGAGCAGGGCACACTACAAAGCATCTAGCGAGCATCAGCAAACGGTTACTGATTGAGCTGGTGAGAGATGGGGACCAAAGTTTGAGGTAGGTGACCTCCGACCTCCCCTCAGCACAGGCACTCACCCCAGGTGCTCCACTGCCCAGGGCCTGCCCTCCCTGGTTCAGTGCCCTCATGGTACCCCCACCGCCACCCCTTAACCTTATCTCCTGAGAGTTGTTACTACTTTGAACATCCTCTGCCCCTGAAGAAACTTCCCTGTCCAGTTTCTTTCCTAACTCAAAGTGTTAAATTAGCTAATCTGATAAACTAACCTGTGCTGATATAGTTATGGGAGAGGGCTAGAGGAGAACCTCAGGAGACGGGTTCATTTTAACCAGGGTCATGTGGCAAGAGCAGCTCTGCCTTTGCGATGGTTTAATGGAGTCAAGAGGTTCACTCCTCCCGCCCCAGCAGCTGATGCATTACTCCCTCCTCTGGGCTCCCACAGCACTTTGTATATACCTCTTACTGTAGCACTTAGCACGTGGTAGCTCCTTAGCTATGTGTTTTTTGTATGTTTCCCCTCCAATAGACTGTGAGCTCCTCAAGGACAGGGACTGTGTGTTAGTCACTGATGTATCCCCAGCGCCTAGCACAGTGCCTGGCACACAGTAGGTGCTCAATAAATGTTTATTGAAAAAATGAATGAATCCTGCTTGTAATCATGGGGATTTCAGCCCTATACTGTGGCTGGCAAGAGGGGAGGGAGAAGGACAACCCATGCTGGGGGCTACCACAGCTTTTTGACCCTAACACTGTAGGCAGCTGCTTCCCCTGCCCACGTCTATGGCCACCCCTGGACAAGGGGGTCCACAGGAGCCCAAGGCTGCTTCCAGCTGTGCCTGGCTGTCACCAGGTGCCACGGGCGACTCCTGAACTCCCCCCCTTTGCTGCTGCCCGCTTCCTGGGACAGCCTCATCACTACTTCCTCATCCCTGGGTGAGACTGAGCGGTAGAAACGTCAGGCCCGGTGGAAGGGGCGAGACAAGAAGTTATTCTCACGATCGTAGGCCTTTCTAACCCCATCACGTATTTTTAAAGAGGCTTTTGCCTCTGGCTCCAAAGCTGCTGGATCCGAGGTGAGTGAGCTCATCCCCCTCTCGGCTGCTCCCAGGGCTGGGAGGCCAAGGCAGTCGCAGCCTCCGAGAGCCTCGGCCCTCGCACGCCAGACGTGGGAGCTGACATCCAGCAGGTGGCGCTGTCGAGTCGGCGACGGCGGGCGGGTGGCCCGGCGCAGCCCGGGAAAAGAGGAGCGGCCTGGGAGGGGCCTGCGGCTCGCGGCAGCGGCGGCCGTGGCCGGCATCTTCCCAGGCCTCTATCCTGACCGTTTCCCTGGGCAGCTCTGGCCCCCTCCAAAGCCTTCCATTGCTCTGGAGCTTCGAACTTTCTCCCAGGCCCCCACCCCCTCCACTTTCCAGGGGGAATTTAGCCATCGATCGAATGCCCTCTCCCCATTGGCCAGTCGCGCCCTGGCCCCACCCCCGGCGGCCCCCTCCCCCAGCCTCGGGAGCGGCAGGTGAGCACGCGGCCGAGCCGGGCCCAGCCCCGCCGCGCTGCACCCCGGGCGGCGAGGGGGAGCCGCGGCCGCCGTCCCCTGCCGCGGGGGCGCCCGGCCTGGCCCTCCTCCCCCCGCGCCGCTGCCTTCTACCTGGGAGTCGGAGAGCGATCGAGACGCCCGCGCGATCTGTTTGCCGGTAGAGGGACCCTCCCGCCCGCCTGCTGCGGGAGCCGAGCAGGGAGGGCCGCGCGGGGCCGGGAAGCGTCGGCGCCTAAAGGCCCGACGCTGCTGCGGCTTGCCGGCCCCCCTCGCGGTGGAAACCCACAGTCTAGGGAAGCACATGGAGCCCGGCCTGGCCCGCTGCGGGGTCCAGAAAGCCCGAGCCCTTGGCGCCTCCCGCTGGCAGCTAAGCCAGCCGAGGAGGCCCTGGGGCGGACCCCATCCTCCCTGAAACACACACACACTCGTCTTAGCGGGGGCAGGACACAATAAAACACCCAACCCACTTTCCCGTTATGGGTTAGAATATGGAAGGGGCAGGAGTATACTGCCCAATTCGCCCCTCATCCAACCCAACTAGGGATGAAGAGAGAGCGCAGGGTCCTTTCTCCGGGAATATGGAGACTTGAACGGGGCTTCTCTTTCAACCCTGCACCCCAAAGAGGAACATTCTGGTAAGACCATCATTAACTGTAGGCTCGTGACCTCAGCACGGAGGAGGAACTAACTTCGCCTAAACAGCCGTGTTTACTCAGTATGATTCTCTTCCGTCGTGGGTAAATTGAGCCCCCTTTGGCAGATGGAGCAATTAAGGCTCAGAAAGATTCGGTTCTCACCCAAGGTCAGCCTAGGTAAGTGATGGAGCCGGCTCTTTCCCCTAAGCCACACTGAAAGGATTAGGAGACCGTTTACTAAGAGGCCAGGGCGCTCGCCCCAATCCAGACCAGGGCTGCAGAGCTAATATCACGGCCCTTCCCTCCGGCCTTGATCTTCTTCCCAACCTGGCTCAAGGGCAGTGGAAGGACTCCAGAAAAGGTGGGGGGAAGGAACTCAAAAGCAAGAAAATGAGAAACTGCTGTTCGGTTCCGCTTTTAACGCCTCCCCTTTCTCTAGGGAAATAAAGGGGTGTGCGCCACCCACACACCCAAACTCAAAGGCCCATGGCTGTCCACAACTCCCCAGATGACTATCACCCATTCGTTTGGGATCATTCTGACGTTGCCTACAGCATCTCCCCGCTGCGTTCAGTGGAAATCCTTCTAGTACCCCCGCCACTCTCCCTTCATCCTGTCTGAATCTCGAGGAGTTACCTTTCTTTCCCTCCCTCCACCTGTCCCACCTCCAACGTATTTTTATTGACTTATTAAAATAAAAACAAACAAAAAAGCCTCTGTCACTACCCCGTTTAGTTTTCCTGTGGCTCCCCATCGTCTAAGGCAAAAGTCCAAGCCACGCTCCTTGGCACGGCCAGCAGGGTTCCTGCACCCTCCCTCCCCATCTGTCCCCTCCAGCTGTGGTGACACTGAAGTCAGTTGTAGTTTCCTGCACACTATCCTCTTCTTTGTCTCCAAGCCTTTGCTCAGATTGTCCCCTCAGTTCAAAGACTCTTCCCTGCCACCCCTAATTCCTGTTTCTCTACTTCAGTGTCAACTAGCCATCACCGCTCCCAGGAAGGCCTTCCGACCACCACAGCGCCCTTGCCGATCTCTTTGAGGTCCCATAGCATCCTGGGCCTAGCTGACTCCTTGCACTCCCCACATGGCTTTCATGACCTAATGACAGGTCTGATTTCTTAACTGTAAGTTTCAAACAGAGGATCAACGTGAAATCAGTACTGTTAGGGGGTCGTTTGGGAAGCAGAGAAAGCAACTATTCGAGAGGGCCTTGGGATCAGAAAGTGGAGAAGTGAAGTCCAGTGAGGAAGGTTAATGCTGCGGCTCAAAGGGGATGATGCTCCTCCATCTGGGCAGAAAGACCTGGGTCCAGGCCTGCTCCTGGGGCTCAAGCACAGAGAGCAGCTCACAGTTCACTCTCGGGGATGGCTGGACTCCAGTCGGCCAGACACACAGACTGCCTCACCTATACACTGACACGGCTCTCTAGGGACTTAAGCCACAGTGAGAGGCCCTAAGAATATAGCATAAAAGGGCCTCATCCCTGGCTTGCCAAACATCCCCTTCCTCTCAAACGGTGACAGGTACATTCTGGAGCCAGCAGTCAGAGGGAATCGTAGCTTCTACCAGTTTCTCAGAAGTGGGAGGAAAAATTGTAAAATCCAGGATGGGCATCTTGCTTCCCTAGTAGCTGGGTCTTAGGAAACCAGACCATGGAGGCCTGCACTGTGTGGGTGGGCAGAGGGGACTCTGGCACAACAATGAGGGCAGTGATGAGACCATGCAGTCAGATGCCCAAGAGGGTGGCCCAGGGCAGGAAAGAGAGGCAGCAGGGAGGTGATTTCCTTGAGTTAAAGAGGATCATTCCTCACCGCCACCTAAAGGAGAGCTCCTCCCTCTAGTCCTGCTTCTCTTATGGCAAACAAGGAATGCGGGGACACACACACACACACACACACACACACAACCAAAGCAGGTACTCAATTCTCCCCACCAACCCACCCCGCCCAGGATTTGCCCCTACCTTTCCTTTTCTTTCCAGATCCCGCCCCAGTGACCCAAATGTCCACTAGCCACTCCACCTGGTCCTCATTTGTTGCACCCCTAAGGGCCCCAAACTGCAAAGCGGGTTCAGGGGTTTCCCCATTGACTTCATCGAGATGCCCATCTTCTTTAACCCAGGGAAAGCCACCACGGGGAGAAGAGTAAAGCGAGACAGGAGACAGCAGCCCTGACACAGGTTTTTCAGTATGCAAGTGTTTTTGACTCCACAGCCAGTTGCTTAAAATGAAACATAAAGGGCAGCCAGAATACACACCCAAATGCAAAAAAGTAAACATAAAATAAACCACACAATACTATGAACCCCAACAAAACCAAAAAATTAAAACCCAAAACCCCTCAACTTTATATATATATATATATATATTTTTTTTTTTTTTTTAAAAAGGGAGAACAACTGTTCAAAACCAACTGGGCAGTATGGTGGGGGTGGGGAGCAGTCCTACAGAAGGGGGCCTAGAACTTCCCCCCTGGGAACAAAGAACAAACACAATACAAAGAAAATAACCACCAATGCTCCCGCACGGGTCAGGAGTCTCCAGAGAACAGATTGTCCCATCCTCAAACTGGCTTTTTTTTTTTTTGCCTTTTTTTTTGTCTTTTTTTTTTCCATTTTCTTCTTTTGTTGTTGTTGTTTTAGCACCTGTACAATAAAACTGTACCATCTCCAACCAGAGCCGGCCACAGCGAGGCCCTCCTGCCTGTGGATGGCACATACTCTCTACAAGGATTGTTCGGAAAAATAGCAATTGGTAGAAAAATAAGAACAAGAGTGGGAAAGACAACACCACGGGTGGCGGGGGGCGGGGTCGGGGAAGCAGCCCGAGCTCCGCCCTCTGTCCCTCTCTCTCCCTGAACAAGCCCAGCGCTGGAGGCCCGGAGAGAGGCCTGGCGTGGCCACGCACTCGGCCCCAGGTCCCCAGGCAGGACTGGAGCCCAGCCGAAGACCAGTCTCCTGCCCTCGCCTAGGAAACGGGCTGAGGCCTGGATTTCACATCTGGCAGTCGATCCCAGAGCCCACTGCAGATTCTAGAGGAGAAAGGGGCGGAGGGAGGACGGAGGAGAGAGAGAAGAGAGAGGAAAGGGGTGCTGCGATTCTGGCAAGGGGCGAGCTGGGGGACGAGGGCTGGGAGCTGAGAGGCTCAGTATCCAGAGAGGGTGAGGCCAGAAGGGGCTGGGGGGGCTGGGGTGCAGGGGGAAGCTGCGGGAACAAACTCATACTGTGCACTCAGGGGAGCGGGGAGGAAAGTGTGCGGAGGGGCAGCCTTGTCCTTCAGGCCCGTTCTCCACTCTCCTCTATTAGAGTAATTAATTGACCCCTCACTCCCACAATCCTCCCCTCCCCAGTAAACACTAATCTCAAGATAGCAGGGCTGCTGCAAAGGGAGGGGTGCCATGGATGAGAAAAAACTGGGGGGGGGAGAGCACCAAAGCCTCGGGATTTACCCCCAACCCCCCAGCCCTGGGCCAGCACCAGCCAGCTTCATTAGTCACAAGTCAATGGCCCCCACTCCTCCCCACCCCCTCCCCAGTGGGGGAAAACAACCCTGGAAGTACTTTGTCAGAGGGAGGGAGCAGCTCCAGAGCTTATCAAGAAAGACAAAGAAAGGAGGTGAAGAAAGTCCCTCAATACAACAAGCTGTCTCAAATCATCACAGTGATACAGACTTATCAGAAACCAATGAAACAATACAAATTAAATACTAATAAAATAAATACTATGGAAGACAGAAGAACACAGGGGAACGGAGGGGGCGCTCAGAGATTTGGGCTTTTCTCACTTCTCCTCCAGACAGGCCGCAGCCACCCAGGGCCCAGGTTTGGTCTTGGTCATACCCAAGGAGGCCAGTCCAAGGGACCCTGGCACCACCTCCCACCACCCCTGGGACCTCTTGTCCTCAGACGTGGAGTTCAACTTTCCACCCCCATCACCAACCACGACAACAATGACGATGACAGGGAGATGAGAACTAATTGTAACCAAAAAAAAAAAAAAATCCAGTCACTAATGCTGGCATTGATAAGGCGGCTTCTTGTTGGTCCGTATTATTGCCTCATTCTGCAGTCTGGTGCTCGGTGGGGGAGACATGGGAGGTGGGGGAAGGGCGAACTTGGGAGGAGAAAGAAGAAAAGGGAGGGGCTGTTTTCCCGGTCAACTGTTCCAAGGCTGGAACTCCACCTGGGACCCTAGGAGCCGGAGTAGCTCAGGCTCGTACCGCACCAGCTCCACAGTCTCAGAGGAGCCTGGGGCAGATCTGGCGTCCAGGCCTCCAGGCCTCTCGGCAGGGGTCAGCAGCTGACTGGAGGCCACCTGCCGGTGGAACTCGGCCTTGGGCAAGGTGGCAATTTCAAAGTGCGGGAACCGAGCCTGAAAGATCCTTGAGGAAAGCTTCAGCCTCTTCAGGACATCGGTAAAGAGAAACCAGTTGCAGGGCCTGGAAAAGAAAGGCAAGGATGGGGGTTAGGGAACGGGGCCGAGGGGAGGCGGAGGGGGCACCCAGAGCATGTTGGAAGGTCCAGGAAGGCTGTCAGTCTAGCTACCCTCCACCAAGCCGGGGGCTCTTTGGGGGTAACGGAGGTGAAAATTTTCTCCTGTCCCGACATCAGCGGACCCAGCTTTCAGCTAAATGGCAAGCACTCAACCCATGAGTGACCTCTTCCAAAAAGTGGGAGCAGAAGGGAAATGGGCCTTTCAGAACCAAAACTCTCAGCAGGCTTCCCCAGGGCTTCCCCGCACCCCTGACCTGGAATCGAACCTCTGCAGGGACCGGTTCTTCTCCCCGCCGACCCCTATCAGCCCGGTCTGGTTTCCCTTTCCTGTTCTCACTCCTTGCTTCTCCTGCCTTCTTGTTCTCCAAGATCTTCCCCAGCAGAGGGGGAGCCGTGGAGAAAGGCCTAAACTGCGGGTAATCCAAAAGGCATTTCTCTTTGGCTCTGGAATGCATTAGACAAGTTTTTTCTCCAGCGGCAGCACCATCGTTTCTACAGGGCCGGAGCTCACATTACAGCCAGTCTGACTTTGCTGAGCACACCCGACTGGGCGGCAGTCTGGGGACAGCTGGGAGGGGTGCTGGAGAGCCCAGTCCTGGGCCAAACGCTTGCTTTGACTAACGGGGAAGAAACGCAGCATCCCCATGTGAGTGGTCCCTGTTTCCAGGGCTTTCCCTCCTCGCCATTCCACTATCCTGCTTCCCGCCTTTGCCACTTTTGGCCTGGACTATATTCCATCAGCCTCCTAACTGGGTTCCCTCTGCCAAGAGTCACTCTTCTGCACCCCCACCCACTCTTACTGGATCCTCTGTCACTATTAGTTTTCTAAAAAGAAAATCTGACCTTCTCACCCCTAAACAGCTTTCAATGGCTCCCCAGTACCTCCAGCAAAAATACGCCAAATTCTTTAGTATGGTATTATGCAAGACCTTGCAAACATGACCCCATCCCACCTCTTCAGCCCCGTCTCCACCAAATCACACAGGCGCACACGCACTGCATCCCCCACCCTGTCAAGTGCCGGCCATTGGATCAAGGACCAGCCTTGCTTGCTGAACTTGCATGTCTTGGTGCCTCTGCTCGTGCCACGCCCTCCACCTGCCTCTCCTCTCTGGCCCTGCTCAGATGCCAGCGCTCCCGTGAAGCCTTCCCCCCATCTAACTGGTTGCTTGTCCCATCTTCCATGACTCGTGGCACTCAGTCCATAGTCCTATTATAATACTTATAACAGAGCCCATTTCAGAAAGAATAGAAAAGATACGTAAACTGTGGTTCTCTCTGTGGCATAAAAATGGGGCTCGGGTGGACTGGAACTTTTATTTTTCACTTGACACCCTTCTGAACTGTTAGAATTTCTTACAACAATAAATCTGCTTAGGACATTTGGTTTTTTATTAAGAGTTAATTGTATACTTGTCTATCTCCTCCACTAGGCTGGAGATTCTTTGAAGGCCAGAGCTGTATTCCGGCCCTCAGGGTTTGACCTGGTGCAACTGTTCAAGACATGTTTCTGGAATTGAATGTTCTGTACAGCGCCCAAAACTTCTACCCAGCCCCACAATCCTTATCCCTAAAATGCACCATTTCTGTCAAATGAGAGTAAACTCTGTCAGCTCACACAATCAGGGAATGGAGTGTTCTGGATTAAGAGAAAGGGACCTTAGATACCATATACTTGGACCATCACTTTCAAAGAACGGAAAAAACCCTCAGAACATTAACACTGGTGATCAGAACTCAGTTTTCCTTTGATGGTTCAGAAGGCACTTCTGAACCCCACTGGGCCTCAGAGTCATCATTCTACACCCTCCCTCCTTGAAGAACATAAATTTTCACATTGTGCTGCAGCTGGGGGGAAAGGCAGATTCAGAAGAGGTGCTGGAGGAGGGAACATCAGGAAAACCAGCCTGGCAGGTACCAAGCTCTCAACTGCAGACCTGCCTGCTGCCTGGCTCGCTGAGTGGCGCGCAGCCCTCGGTTACCCCATGTGCTGTCCATACCTAAAGCACACGACCCTGGTCCTTTTACTGCCTGGGGCCCAAGATCCTGTTTCAGAGAAGGAGGTGCTGAATACTTTGGAGGAATTAATTAACTGTGCAATACTATATCCCAGGGGCCCAACCCCGCCCTCAGGGATCAGCTTATGCCCAGAAGAATAAGGACCAAAAGCCCCTGAAACTTGATCCCTACTAGTGTCATCATATAGGCTATTTTTATTCTTATCAGGCCATGGGAGAAGGGATGCAAAGAAACTGTGGTCCAGTGGTTAGAGTTGTCACCTGAGGGGCTCACATGAAGGGCTCCTAATCCATTGTTCGCCCCCCGCCACCCCCCACCCGTCATGTGCAATTCATGTGCTTTCTATTTCAAAAAAAAAATAGGGTCTGATGTTTAAAAAATAGGTATCAAAGAAAAAGTACCCTTAAAAGGGTTTGCAAAGGTATTTGAAATATGTGAAGACACCAAGAAGAAGAAAAAAACATAACGATGGAGGCTAAGAACAAAAGGACAATTCATCCAGCATCCTCCTAGCCAGCTCTGCCACACGCCGCCAGATGTGAAACCCGGCAAGAGCCACGGCCCTGCAGGCTGCCCAACTCCCTTCTGAATCATCAAATAAAGATTAAACTGGGTTCAGTCTCACGTTAAGTATCAGGTATATTCTAGTCTCTGAAAATGGGTGATCCCCATTATAACAGACACAGTAATCTGAGGTGACAGCGCCCGTGCCCCATCATCTCACCAACATTAAGGCTACGAGAAACCAGCCTGAGGATTGCTTAAGGACCCCAGTGGCCCCAGAGCTATGGCAACCATATGTCCCAGCTTTTGCAAGAATCTCAATTTCAAATATTCTGTCTGGCTGTCCCCAGAAACCACAAAAATGTTCCAGAGATTCTAATAGTTCATCAACCCAAATATCTCCCAGATCGTCCCTTACACCCAGGAACAGTGCAAAAACCCTTCAGAGAGTGAGTCTAGATTTGGGGTTTGGGAAATACACACAGTCAATATATCTAGAGCTTACAGCCTATATTCGGAATGTAACTATCTAGGCTGGAAAGTCAGGCTGGCCTTGGTCGTGTATTATCTTTCCTAAGCTCCAGCATTTGTTCTCCAGGTCTCAGCTTCTTTCTGGAGAACTCCACCCTTCCCGGGGAGGCAGGCCAGGGGTTGCCAGGATCCTGGCACTTAGTCCCCATAGATCTCTCAGACACTTACCCGCGGGACACTGATACTTGGAGGTTGTAGCAAGGGAGAAGAGGCTTGTCTGAGAGCTCAAACATAAAATCATCCTCTTCCACATCATCTCCTTCTTGATCAGAGCTCCCAGGAGGATTATGGAGGAGGTCACAGGCAAACCCGTCCTTTTCCTCTGTAAGGAAGGCACACAGGGAATTAGGACTTAGCCTCATGCACAAAACTGAAGAACAGAAATGCTCCAACAAGATAAAGGGGTGTGATTAGGAGATAAAGGAGCCCACAGCCGCCTGGTCGGGGCCAAGGTTCCCTTTCCCATGGCTCACAGCCGTAGGAGGGCACAAGAAAGTTCTAGCCCTGGAAGACAGCATTTTGTGGCCAGAGATTCACTCCCCTCCTCCATCTTTTAACTGGAAAAGAGCAAGGTGAGGGGAAGGATGAGCTGCTCAGCTGCTGGAGTGGAAGGCTGAAGCTCCTTCGCTGCCCGTGGTGTTCCCAAACTGCACCAACTGCCTGCTGGGATCCCCAGAAGCCCGAAGGGGGCTCACCTTACCCTTCCCCAGCCATGAGTTGGGACATGGTTTGTTTCATTCCACTGCAACCTTCTCTTGCTCCAGCTTCCCCCAAGCTTAGGGGTGGGCACCTCCCTCAATCTGCAGCCCCTGGCCTAATGAGTGAGTGCTAGATGACTGCCACAGACAGACTCCCCGCTCTTCCGCGAAAGGCAAGCTGGGCCAGGGGGCTAAGGGCTCGGGCCGGCAGCTATCTCAGAAACTCGGTGTGCATCACGGGGCAGGGTAGGGAGGGAATGGTAACTGCCAGAGGAGGGGCCGGGTCCCTCTTGAGTGTGAGCAATACCAGAACAGGTGACCATGCACACAGGGGCTTCTGGCAGGGCTAGGATAAAGCAAGGGAGGAGAAAGGGACCTTGGAAGAGAGAGAATAAAACAAAATACCCAGAGTGCGGAGCGGTAGAGGGCTAATGAAGGATGGCTTTGTTGAAATCAGTGGCATCTCCTCACTGAGGCCAATGAGTGCTGGGTCTGGGGGGAGCATGGGCTAGGGTTGGGGCTGAAAGGGTCTGTAAGCTACTAACAGGTGAAGAAGGGCCACTTCCATAGGGTGACTCCTGTCTTTGGGAAGAACCAGTAAACCCAAAGTAAATCCCACATCTTGGAGCCATGGACAAGGGTGGGAAGAGTCCCACTTAAAGCTTACCCAACACAGAACTGCTGTAAAAGTCCCAGGATACACCAGGATCACCCTCTGCCCGGCCCTGAAGATCCGAGAGGTGATCTGATGAGAGAAGAGAAAGCAGTGAGAAAAGGAGGGCAGGCTGCAGAAAGAATCGAAAAGCAAAGTATGTCCATATGGGGCTGGGAGGATGGGGGAAGGGAAGGACGACCACGAGAGGGGCGGGAGTGACTGGAGAGAGATACACTTCCTGCTGTCAATCAGAGGTTGCAAACCAGCAGCCAGAAGCCAAATCTAGCCCACTGACCACAGGGGGTTTGGCCCAGGGTTTTAAACCAAAAGAAAATCCGAACATCCATTATTTTAAAATTGAGAGATTTCACTTAAAAATCCAGATTTCCAGCTTTTCTTGAAAAAAATATCAGATCTGGCAACACTGTGTCCGCATTCCTGCATGTCAACAGTTGGCTAGAGCCAGAGGCGACATGTGTGTTCTCCAATTTAACGGTCCCCACCCAGCCTGTTCTGCTCTCTTCCATGATCAGCCTGAAAGCATTTAGGTCTGGGATCCCTGCTTTGAATGGTGTAGGGAGTTACTCTGCAAGCAGAATCCTGTATCTATCCCAGGGTTTTAACTCCCTGCTAGCTACAAGGTTCATATATCCAGCCATGATCTCTCCAAAGTGCGATAAGGAAGCATAATTCTTTCTGTTTCATCTTTGAAAAACACGGGGGAGATGGCCAAGTTTATCCTCATAAAAAACTTTTGCTTCCACTCTTAGGCATATACTCCAAGGAACTGAAAACAGGTGTTCAAACAAAAACTTATACACGAATGTTCATAGCAGCCCTGTCACAGCAGGCAGAAAGTGGAAACCACCCAAATGGCATTCAGCTGATGAAGGGATAAACAAAACGTGGTCTATCCACACAATGGAATATTACTCAGCCATGAGGAGGAATGAAGTGCTGATACACGCTAGAACATGGATGAACCTTGAAAACATTATGCTAAGTGAAAGAAGCCAGACACAAAAGGCTATACGGTGTATGATTCCATGTACATGAAACGTCCAGAACAGGCAAATCTATAGAGAGAGAAAGTAGCCTGGAACGGGAAGTGACAGCCTCACGGGTACAGGGTTTCCTTTTGGGGTGATGAAAAAGTTCTGAACCTCGATCGTGGCGATGGTTGCACGACATTGTGAATGTACTTAACGTCACTCAACTGTATATTTTAAAACGTTTACAATAGTAACATTTATGCTATAAGTATTTTACCACAATAAAACAATTTAAACCACCTTTTGGTGGCTTGACCTGAGGACAGGCACCAGGTCATGCCTTGGTCTCCTTGTTTCCTAGCTAAGCATCATCCAGTGGAACCGTTTCACCTCTCAGCCCCACGTGGACAAAAAGCAGATTTTCATGACAAATTCAACTGTGTCATCTGTGGGCACATGGCCCAGCAGTTGCCAGTATGCCACCTAGGACAGTTGGCGAGCTAATTTAGCTGTGTATGGTCGCCACTGGCCCTCAAGTGACACCTGGGCAACAGGACAGGAGAGAGTCCAAAGGACACAAGTGAGGTGAGGGCACCCCCTGAAAACCAAATCCCAGGAGGCAGTTGGCAGCCACTCTTAAAGGAACAGAGCTGGTTTCCCCCTTCGAAGGCACCACCACACGCCAGTCTAGCTTCCTTTTGGGTCACACGGCCCATCAACAAAAACGCCTATTAGCTGTTGTGAGCTACTGAAGAAGTCATGTTTTAGCAACCTTCCAGGAGATGAAAGGTTTCTTCTGGTAGGAGAAGGCAGCCAGAGAGAAGCTTTCAAAGGAACGGCTGAGCAGCTAGAGTGGAAAACCTTTGGTCACGTACATTAGATCTTTCATGGATTCCATGAAAAAACCCTGAGGTCACGGCTGCCAGCTTATGTGCTCCTCTGTATCCTGTGCCACTTGAGAGTTGGAAGTAGTTTCTTCCAAAAGCATCTGTCAGCTAGATAGGTGTTATTCTGTGCCCAGCCCTGGGCTAGGTATCCTGGGAGATAAAGGCATGAGATAGTAAGCTCCCAAAAGGCAGGGATCACATCTGTCTTGGTCATCATTGTCTCCCCAGTACCTAAGCCCAGGTGGCTGGCACATAGTAGGAGCACAATAAATATACAAGGAAGAAAGGGAGGGAGGGAGGAAGGGAGGAAGGGTGGGAGGGAGAGAGGGAGGGAGAGAGAGAGGGAGGGAGGAGTTCCCACAAGGTGAGACTATAAAGTAAGGTGCTTGCTTAACCAGCATGCCGAGACATAAGCATTCAAATGAGTGCTGACCCCCCATGAGGTCACATGAGGATTCCATGAGAGCAGCCCCAGCTCGCTGACACCCCTGGGGCTCCTTGATAGGAACTGCCTTCAGAGTCCTGGCACATTCCTCTCATTCTCCTCCTGACAGCAAATCTTTGTGAGTCGCAGGTGAATTTGCCTTTTTGAGATGGCCAAAAGTTAATTAGCACAAGCAAAGATGCAAAAGTCGGGACAGGTCCGTGAGTGGCACACACAAGAAACCCCAACGTTTGCTTGATGGTGCAGCTTTGAGTCACGTTTCCTCATAGGTCTTCACACCCCATCAGGATGAAGAGTGACTTCCCTTTTCCTTGCTTCTCCCTTGCCCCCTCCCACAACTTTCAGTCCTTTACTCTGCCCTTCCCTTCAGAAAGTGCCCTCGGCCCAGCATGCCCATTCCTAGGCACAAGTCCAAGAACCGAAGATTGGCACGCAAACAAACTCCTGGACACACATGTGCACAGCAGCACCAGTCACAATTGCCAAAAGATGGGCACAACCCCAATGGCCATCCTCTGATGAATGGATAAAGAAAATGTGGTATATCCGTACAATGGGATATTATTCAGCCTTAAAAAGGAAGGAAGGGTTGGGCTGGCCCCGTGGCCGAGTGGTTAAGTTCGCGCGCTCCGCTGCAGGTGGCCCAGTGTTTCGTTAGTTCGAATCCTGGGCGCGGACATGGCACTGCTCATCAGACCACGCTGAGGCAGCGTCCCACATGCCACAACTAGAAGAACCCACAACGAAGAATACACAACTATGTACCGGGGGGCTTTGGGGAGAAAAAGGAAAAAATAAAATCTTTAAAAAAAAAAAAAAAAAAAAGGAAGGAAGGGTTGATACGTGCTACCCCATGGTTTGGCCTTAGCAACATGACACTACAGCAAAGTTAGACACAAAAGGCCCCGGATTGTACGACTGCTTTTATATGAAATGTCCAGAATGGGAAAATCCATAGAGGCAGAAAGTAGATGGGTGGTGCCAGGGGCTTCGGGGAGAGGGGAATGGAGAACAGCTTAATGGGTACAAGGTTTCATTCTGGGGTGATGAAAATGCTTTGGAACTAGACAGAGACGATGGTTGTACAATGTTGTGAATGCACCAAATGCCACTGAATTGTTCACTTTTATTTTTTTATTTTATTTTTTTTTGAGGAAGATTGGCCCTAAGCTAACATCTGCTACCAATCCTCCTATTTTTGCTGAGGAAGATTGCCTCTGAGCTAACATCTGTGCCCATCTTCCTCTACTTAATATGTGGGATGCCTGCCACAGCATGGCTTGATAAGCGGTACGTAGGTCCGCACCCCGGATCTGAACCAGCGAACCCCAGGCCACCGAAGTGGAACGTGCAAACTTAACCACCATGCCACCGGGCTGGCTCCTGAATTGTTCACTTTTAAATGGTTAATTTTGTTATGTGAATTTAACCCCAATAAAAACAAAAAATTTTTTAAGTGGTCAATGTGAGCGGTCACCCTGGTAATCAGAGTTTCTCTGTTTCCCAGAGTCCCATCATCGCCCTCCCCATCTCCTCCAACCAAGTCACCAGCTGAGGGACATGAAAGGAGAGAAAAACGAAAAACAAGCAGTCTTCGACACGGGGTCATATGGTGGAGGTCTCTGGCAGGAAAAACAAAAACCTGTGATTCCGTGACCTCAAGTGGTAAATTGCTAACCCTTTCATCAGTGGAAGGAAAGGCAGTCCTGACACTTCCTCTGATGCCCCAAACCAAACTGCAACACCCCCCAGCCCCCACATTCTTTCTGACATGGGAGGAAAAAAGAATGATTTTCCTTGGCTGGCTTCGATATTGCTCTTTATTTCAAAGGGTCAAAGGCAAAGCAGTCACATGCCTGCCTGTAATTTGGCCCAAGGAGGAGGTCTTCCAAAGGTCTCCTGGAGGGTCTGGACTGCTTGGTGCTCCAAGCCGGAGGACGAGAGAGAGAGGGGGCCTTGTCTGCCCTCTGGTACGCAGCACTATGTCTGAAACCCAACGGGTGCTCACTAAATGCACGGATGAATGAAGGAATGAAGGAGTGCCCTGACATCCTTCCTGATCGCAGGAGAAACAGGCCTCACTTAAAGCCAAGCCCATATAGGAAAATCCACATTTACAACCCAGACAAATTACCAGTCTCTTCTGCTTTACAAAAGGATTCACTATGGGATACGTGTAAATAGTGACATGCCTTTGTATATTTAAAAGAGGGTTTGATTCCCAGACTTTGGCAGAACAGGGGCCTGTTCTGTGAGGGGAGTTCTATGCGAGGGGCAACGCTGATGCTCTTGCTCTTTCCCACCTACAGAAAATGGAGCCTTTTGTGCCCAAGAGGGATTCGCCTTCATCTTCTGCCCAGTGGGATCTCCATTAGGGGAGGAAGAAGACAATTAATCAGTGGAGAGCCTGGTCAGGCAAATGCTTGGGGATGCAAAGCAAAGAGCGTTTTAAATACCTCAGCCAGACAGGCACGGTAAAAAAAAAATCCAGAAGTCCACGCAAATGCGTCCAGGTGTAGGGGTGGGGAGGTGGGGCAGTGGAGGGTCCCGCCCCCCCCCCAACCTCCAACCTCCAACCTCGTGGTGCTTGCTGCAGCCTCTATACCACTCCACCCAGTGGTTCCTGGAGATTTGGAGGCCGGGAGGGTACGGGGATGAAAAAAGAGAAATACTTGGTTCAAGGCATGTAAACAGCCCGTGATGATGGTTGCACAACATTGTGAACGTCCTAAATGCCACTGAATTGTTCACTTCAAAATGGCCATGTTAGGTGCATTTCACCTCAATTTTAAAAAAGGGTACTGCCTTCTCGTACCTCCAAAACAGCCTTTGGGCCCGAGTCTCCTCTCCTGGGAGCCTGTTGACTCCTACCAGTGCCTGCCTCTCTGGGTTGTCAGGCCAAGGTCCTAGTCTGACCTGCTAGCACTTTCCCCAGCAGCCAGACAGAATTCTGCCTTTAATTGCCGCTTGCTATTTGCATGGAAAAGAGGTGGCCCAGTTTTAACACGCCTTTCAGCTCCTGGCCCCCACTAAGAAGCTCTAGCTCCATGCCCATAAAGGTAAGAAACAAAGTCAAGATTTGAATGAAGGTGTGCAGCCTGCACAGGCTAGGAAGTGCCAGAATCAAGAAGAGTCTTCTCTTGATTCTGCAACATGGACTGGCATTTGAGTTAGTTTAAGGAGGTGTCAAAAGGCTGCTTAGGAACTGGGATGAGCTGAGAAATGAGATAAGAGAAAAATGTGTTCATTCTTTTTTTTTTCTTAGGAAGATTAGCCCTGAGCTAACATCGATGCCAATCCTCCTCTTTTTGCTGAGGAAGACTGGCCCTGAGCTAACATCCGTGCCCATCTTTCTCTACTTTATATGTGGGACGCCTGCCACAGCATGGCTTGACAAGTGGCACCATGTCTGCACTGGGGATCCAAACCGGCGAACCCCGGGCTGGCGAAGCAGAACATGTGCACTTAACCACTGCGGCACCGGGGCAGCCCCATTCCTAATTTTTTAACTACTTAAAACAGTTTCAACATTCAAACTCTTTTGGGATTTTGGAGAATGGGTTGGGGAAGGAGAGTTTGTCTGCTGACTAAGGGGGTCAGAGAGCTTTCTTTGGACCCAGAATGCCCTAAGACCCTCAGGAGGGCCATCTCCAGCCCAAAGAGGCCCCTGGATTAGACCTGTTGACCAGAGACAGGGCTTCCTGCGGTGCTTTTATGATGTTTAGACGCTCAGGATGTTCATCCATGCCAGCTTTTCCTGGAATCAAGGGGAGTGCAGACGTGCGTGTGTGTAAGAGAAAGTGCATGCAGCCATGGTATGCGGGAGGAGGCCACAAAGGGTGATGGGTTCAGCTCAAGGGAACAACAGTCAACACTGGCCCAGGACAAATGGCTGAGTGAGCAACCCAAAGCTGCTCTGCCCCTCAAGGACAGGGGCTTGGGACCCCAGAGCTGGGGGGAGGGAAAAGGCAGTCCTCTTGCCTGAGCCAGAGAGAGGCTGGGTCTGGCTGTGAGGCCTGAGGCCTGGACATAGTGACCGCGGGGTTTAGTCGGCTCGACTGGGGACTGGATGGAGGCTGGCTGAGCAGGCGTCAAGGCCTGCCTCCGCAGGCTCCCATCGCTCCCTGTCCAGCTTTGATGAGTATGCAGGTGCCGCCCCCACCTAGTCCTCCTTCCATTGGGACCTTTAGTTCAGCTTCCTTTGTTGCTTCCTCCGTCTTCAGCTACCTTGTTAACCTTTGTCTGATAAACTAATGAGCCCCCGGTTAGGAGCTCAGAACTGTAACTCTGTGGGGCGGGGGTGGGTCGAGACAAACTAGGGCCAATGCCCCGGTGACAGGGAGTGACCTTGGGCCAATCCTTGGTCCTTTGGGCTCCCAATCTGAGACCGGTTCTACCACAAACACTGAAGCCTCCAACGAGGATCAGTGATACAACTCCCAGCTGCTCCATCCGTGGCTCCGGCGGTCCAAAGAAGTAACTGCTAGAACAAGGGCCAAGCTGTGACGTCACTAAGGAGGCGGGGTTCCTTTCTTTGGAGGTCAAGGCTGAGGAGATTCCCACTGAGCATGCCTAAGCTAGACGTCCCTCCTTCCCACCTCCCTGCTGCCCGACTCAGTAGAGCCATCTCACTGCGGACAAACAGCTGCCATCTGCTAATGAGAAAACAAATGCCTGCTGCTCATGCCCCTCGCCACAGGCCTGAACACCAGACACTTTTCCAGAGGGGGCAGGTGAGGAAGAGAAAGGACAGGGGCACACAGAGGGAATGTCGCAGTTGCCACAGGCACGGGCTGTGAGGAATATAGCATCAGGAGGGGTTCCAAGAGTTCCACTTTGATCACCAACAAGGACAAAGTGCAAAAGCAAAAGCAAAACGCTAAGTGTCACTTCTTTGCAACTGACATCCCATTCAAAGCACAGGTCAACCCATTTTGTCCCCAACGAAATCTATTAGCAGAGCTGCTGTTCCACGAGGAGGCCTACCCCACACACCTACCTGGGGAAGTGGGTCCCCCCAGGCTACCAGGGCCCTGGAGAGGATGCATGCAATATGGACACTCACAGCACAAGGACAAGAGGCAGGGGACCTTTGGGTTTTTTAAAGCACACAGAGATTTCCGAGAAGCTTGAAGGAAAGGCTGTGAAGAGGGCTGACGCCCCTCATGGGAGCTGTTTGAGATGGAGGGAGATAAAGAATAACTCCCCAGGGGTTCAGAAATCAGAGGCCAGCCCCAAGGACCATGGCTTCGAGTCTGGGCCACACTTACCACTGAGAAAGCGCTTCATGGTGTCGCTGCTGGCCAGCTTCATGGCAGTCTGCCCAGAGTAGGTGGCCAGTGTGGGGTCCGCCCCATAGGACAGCAAGAGCCAGATGGTCTCCAGGTTGTCGTTGACCACTGCATCATGAACCGGCCTGCAGAGGTGATACGGGGTGAGGACAACAGGTCCCAAGTGGGAACCTGGGTGTCTAGACCTCAGGCTACCTCATTAGAGAAAAGTAAAATGAGATGATCCCAGTGCAACATGGGTAAGATTTAGGGTAGGGCAACCACCTCTGGCCTGCACCCCCTACTATATCTCCCCACCTCCTTCTCCTCTGTGCCTCTTTCTCCTCCCTCCCATTTCTCTCTTATGTCCCCCCCCCACCACATCTTAGGACAGTCCCTAGGGCACAATGGAGTTCCACTGGTAGCTCTGGAGTTTGGGAGAGAATGGGCCTCTGACCCAGGATAAACTTAAAGCAGATGCTGGGGGTCAGAACAGAAGAACCCGGATGACCGCCCCAGAGCAGGGATGAGCACAGTGGCTAAACACACCAGGTGGTGGCCAAGCAGAGCTTGCATCCTTTGATCCAAGTCCCCCCACGTGGTAAGAGCTCATGTCTCAATTTTGCAGGAAGTTGGCCCTCTGATAGAGCAGAGGAGAATGGGGGCAGTTTCTCTAAGACACAGCAGCTATCTTTTTTCAAAGTGTATAGAGATACAGAATCAAATCTCAGCTGGTACCCAGGGTCAGCCTCCTAGTTCCGAGGGCCCAAGATTCTGCCTGACAGGTGCACCACCAGGATGACTTGAGAGAAGCCTGAGTGGTCTTCCTAGTGAAGCCACATCTGATGGGACGATCCCTAGACAATCCCAGCCTCCCCTTAGTAACCATGCGGATTGGCCAGCCAGGAACTCATCCACCCCTGCCCTAAGCTAGTTCTCCCTGCAGTCTGTAGATGTCTTCCCGAAATGCCTCCTGACAAGGCCTCTCTGCAACTCGCAGCCTGGCGTGCTGCAAAGGTCCAGACTGCGGCGAATTCTCTTGAGTGAGGGGCTGAGTGGGCGGGGCGGGGGGGGAGCAGCCTTCTTGCCTCGTGCCATCCTGCGCGCTGCAGTTCACGTTGGCCCCGTGCTCCAGCAGGATGTTCAGGATGTCGGTCCAGCCCCGGGAGCAGGCCTCATGCAGGGCTGTGTAGCCAGCATTGTCCCGGTGATTCACATCTTCACTGTCTTTCTGGAGGCAGTAGAGAACAACGTCCTGTGGGGACAGGAATAGCTCTGTGAGCAGAGAGAGGCCTAATTCTTGAAATCACCCCAGTTAGGTTCGAAGCTCTCCAAATGTCCAAAGAATCTCCAAGCCTGTCTTTTATTCTGGGGACTGACAGGCAAGTCTCAAATCTTCTGTCAAGGAAGTCAGTCCTGAGCTGCCACCGCCAGGGCCTCGGCTCAGGGCTGTTTGCTCTACAGTGGGGAGACGTTTCTTATGACCAAGAACACTGATCTGGGTGTGCGTTGTTGGGCTAAGGGCCTCAGAGAGGCTCACCTGCCCATCCAGAGCTCATACCCTCAAGCCTTGAGTCCCTGAGCTCCGGTTCCCTAGTCTGAGGCTTTGCGAGGGAAATCAGACATGTGGTAGCAAGTACAGCCTCTGCTGGTAATTCAAGAACAAGAAAGAATTGGTTTAAGTACTACCCCTGGCTGCTGGTTTTAATTGTTTTAAGTACTATCCCTGGATGTTTATCCCAGGGCAGTCAGTTCCAGCCTTTCCCTCAAACCAGGATTGTTCCTGGTATAATCCAGTGCGGCCATTCATCCACATAGTAACGATCAGCTTCCCTGGCTGAGCCGACAGGACCAGAGGCAGGACTCCGGGCCTAGAAGCACTGGAGCTAGTTTGGGATGAGGCTGGTGAACAAGCTGAGGAGAGGGGAGAGACAGGGCCTCTTCTGAGGGGAAGAGGCCAGCAGCAGCCACCAGGGGCCCATCATCAGCCCTCCCCGAGGCCCTGGTGAGATGGGCCGCTCAGCTGTCCTGACTGACAGCTGGCTCACAGGCTGGCTGGCCAGAGTGTGCGAGTGTGTGTGCGCCTGCAATGGGGTACTGCCTCCTGGAGACAGGACTATTGTGCTGCCTGCACCCAGGAGAGCGCAGGCCCCCCCTACCCTTCTCACCAATGCAGGCCTCTTCCCCTAGGCCTCAGGCTCCCTCCCTCCTGTGACAGGCTGCCCAAGCTACTCCTGCCCTGTCCTGGTTGGTTCTCCAATGGTTTCCTGTTTGCTGGTTTGGCCCCAGGTAAAAGAAAATTACCCTTGGGGCAGGGGTTGGTCATCTTTTTTCTTTAGGTCTCCCTTGGCAGCTATCTGGACCCCCACACTAGGTACTTAAGAAAGACAGGTGACTTGCTGGTGAGACGCTATCAAGGCAGCTCTCCTGTGCTCACCAGCCTGGTTAGGAGTGCGGCTGTCTTTAAATGAGTCCACTATAGGTGTCGGAAGCCTTAAAAGCAAGTCCCTTAAGAGCAAATCCTGAGGAAATAATCAGTGTGGTAGGCAAAGATACATGGTCAAAGAGGTCACAACAACAAAAATGCCCAACATTTGATGCCCATAATTTGATAATGGTAAATGAGCCAGGCTTCCACCCCTACCCTGACACGTGGGAATCAGAAAGACCTTGGGGTGAATTCAGACTCATATATGTGTAGTAGCTGAGTGATCCTGGACGCATCACTTAACATCGCTAAGTCTTGATTTTCTCACCTGTAAAATGGGACTAATAAAACCTACCTCCACAGGCTTATGGTGAAGAAGAAATGATAGGAAGTAATGAGAGCTCTTAACATGACAAAAAGAGGTGCTCAATAAATGCCGGCTTCCTTTCCTGCTTCCTGCCCCCCCACACCCATGGAGAAGTAGTATATGGTGGGTTCAGCCCAGCCCTGCCCCTCCAGCACACCCCTGACCCCTCCACTAACGGAAGTAGAAGCCGAAAGGAGGGGAAGGCGGAGGAGGATATGAAGAGTGACCGATGATCACCTGTGTTCCTCTCCAAGCGGGGGAGCCACTGCACAGGGAAATTTAAGACAACACAAAACCCCCAAAATCCTGTTTCTGGCCTAGGAATGTATTGGATGATATAGTATTACCATTTCAATTATATTTGTCCCAAATTGCCGTTCAAATGAGCTTGCATTCCCACCCACCGTGCCACAGGCAAGGTGGCCCCAGGCCATCTGGGCAGAAGGAGGCCAGCCAGGGCTCAAGCTCCAAAGAAAGCCCTGCCCGGGCGACAGAAGAGCCAGTGGTGAGAAGCTTGTCCACAGAAGCTCAGGCAGCGGCATCCTGCAGCCGGGGAGCTCCTTACCTTATAGCCCAGACGTGCTGCCCGCTGCAGGAGTGTCTCCCCAGCATTTTTGTTCACTATGAGCCGACGTGCCTCTGGGGGGATCTGCCGGGCTGTAGGTGACTCTGAGGTCTCCTCTGGGCCAGCACTTCGGGACTTAGAGGGTGTGCCTGGTTCCGTGGGTTTCACTGGGGTGGGAGATTTGGGAGATCGTGTCTTCTGCTGGCTCCAACGACCTTTGCCCTGGAAAGCAGAGACACAGTCCTGGATCAGCACAGGTTCCCATCCATTTCTACCCAGTGAGCACGGGCTCAAACCCTCAACTACATAAACCATGGATGACGAAGGGACTGGAAATCAGAGATTGAGGGGGCATCCCAGCTTCTCTCAAGCACTCTGCATGCCTTCTTTACCTGCATGGATCCCCATTTACTGAGGTTTTTACAAGTGTTCTCTATAAATAGGCAGACACAAACTCTAAGAGTAAAGAGAAGCAGAGACAGCTATCTTTGACTAAAGAGGCACAGCTGCTGAAGGCTTCACTTGTTGCAAAAACCCTCCCCACCTCTAACTCTCACCAGGCTTTCCCCACCTTCCACCACACCGTGTCCCCAAGTCATGCTCATGTCCACCTGGGGCGCCGGAAAGCGCTCAGGCGCAGGAATCAGACAGACTCGGGTTTGAATCCTGCCTCTGCCATCCACTAGCTACAAGACCTGGGGCAAAGCTCAACCGCGCTGAGCCTCACTTTCTCCCTCATAGGGTCTTTGAGATAATGAACTAGAAGGTTCCAGAACAATGCACAGCGTGCGTGCTCACAAAACATTAGAGTCCTTTCTTCATGAATTACCCTGTGTGTCTCCCTTTCCTTCCATTTTGAACTAGAATGCCCGAGCAAGTTCCCATGCCTGTGCCATCATGGTGTACTGGGTCCACGGGGGCAGGTAATTTGTTCTTGAGTTCAGCAGTCTTCAGAGCAGGAGGAACTGTGCTCGAGGAACTGTGCTCAAGGAATCACACCCAAAGAGCCTCATCGGCACCCGGACCTAAGTTAGATGACGAGATTCTAAACTTGGAGCTGATGCCATAATTGGATGAGAATTTGTGGGGCCTTGGGAAGGGTGGGTATACCTTGCATGCGGGAGAGACATGAATCACTGGGGGGCCAGAGGGCAGACTGTGCACTCATCAGACTCCAAGATGGCCCCTGAGGATCCCCACTGCCTGCTATTCATGCTCTTGTGGAGCCCCCTCTGGCACTGGATAGGGCTGACGTGTGCAGCCAATAGGAGCCTGCAGGGATGACGGTGTGTGACTTACAAGGCTAGGTCCTAAAAGACAACGTGGCTTCTGCCTTGCTCTCTTTTAGATCCCATATTCTGGGGGAAGCCAGCTGCCATGTCATCAGGACACTCAAGCAGCTGTTTGAAGAAGCCCACGGGGAAAGGAAAGGAGGCCTCCTGCCAACGATCAGCATCAACTCGCCAGCCACGCGAGAGAGCCACCCTGGAAACAGATCCTCCAGCCCCAGTCAAGCCTGCAGTTAAACGGAGCCCTGGCTGACACCTTGACTGCAACCTCACAGTCAACCCGAGCCAGCCCCAGCTAAGCTGCTCCTGAATTCCTGACCCTCAGAAACTGGGGCAGAGAATACATGTTTATCATTGTTTTAAGCTGCTAAGTTTTAGGGGAATCTGTTATACCGCAACAGATAACTAACACACGCCACTTATGTAAATCCCTCAGAGCATCAAGATCTCATTTAAATCCTACGTCTTCTACAACACTCTGGTCCCCACTGCCCTCTTTCTCTGCATACCCAGAGTGCCTAGTCTGAACCGCATGATCCAATGCCTGATGCCTGACTGCGTTAATTTCCTTTCATTGTTTCCTGGGCAAGGCTGGCCTCCCCTGCCAGGTTTTAAGCTCCTTGGGGGCAGGTTTCATATTGTCATCTTCTCTTCTGTTCCTTACAGCACTTAACACAGTGCTGGGCACACCACTGCAACAAATATTTGTTGACTTGATTCAAGCCAGCCATGTACAGAGAGCCCTGGGCAGCCAGAAAAGTTGCCTAGAAAGACATGAAGCCAGGAAAGGAGTGGCAGCAGGAAAAAGACAAGGGCCCAGGGCATTTGTTCCCTCTGGTAAATCCCAAAACAACGAGAGCCACTCTCCATCCTCATTCTGAAAGGGCAGAGAGGTACAACTGCCAGCAGGAAGGGACTGGCTATGAGTACAGAATGCCGCTTTATCGCCAGAAGGATGGAAGTCTATAATGGCAGTACTGGAGGATGCCAGGTAAAGTGCTCAGGTTTTTGCTAAGCCAAGCCAGGAGCCAAAGGGTGACTCTCCTTCTGGGGGCCAGAACTGCCAGAGAGAAGAGAGGCTGCCTGAGAGGCGGAGGAGCAGGAGCAAATGGGGGCCCCCTCCCCCTCCCTGCCTGGCTCAGAGCCCCTGCGGCAAGAAGCCTTTGGCCAATGCTCCAGCTTTAGTGTTGCAGGCGCGCCCCCCCACCCTCCCCCCGCCTTGCTTCCCACTACAAAGCACCATGCCATGCGGGCAACTGGAGCAGGTGGTGGTGACTGGGAGAAAAAGAAAGGCGGGAGGGAGAAAGGGAGGCCCTGTGAAGGAACAAAACCTCTCCGGGAGGAACCTTCCAGCGGACACACTGCCAGGCAAAATAACCAGACAGAAGCATCAGCTTGTGTTGCTGAATGTCAGGCGGCCGGTCACCTTTGTGTGGGATGGAGCCATCTGAGTGTCTGAGGAGGAGCAGGGGGAAGGGGAGGGGGACGCCCACCTTTCGCCAGAGCTGCTCAGAGTTGCAGCCTTTCCTTGCCCAGCCGCGCCTCCCCCCAGGGTCTCCCAGAAACAGACAGAAGCCACCCATTCACAGGGTGGAGGCAAATGGAAAGGGAGGGGGCTCCAAGGGCAGCCAGGCCTGCTTCACATCCCAATTCTGTCACTCACGACCACCGAGCAACCTTGCACAAGTCCCTGAGCCTCAGTTTCCTCATAAAATGAGGACAACAGCACCTACCTCCAACAGCCACTGCGGGAATTGAGTGATCACGTGAATGGAGCCCTCAGCACAGACCAGACTTCCCTGCTCCTCCCCTGCCCCCTCTGGGGGTGGAAGGGAAGGGTCACTGCTACCCTGCCACTCCATACCTGCATCTCCTCATTCTTGCCTTGGCCTGAAGCTCGAGGATGTGCACCGACATCGGAGAGCATTTTACGGTTATCAAAGCCTTTCACGTCGATCGCCTCCTGTGTTCCCCCAAGCACCGTTGTGAGAGGGAAAGGACACAGAGTATCACCTCCATTTTTAAAGGGAAGGACATAGGCTTGAGTACCTTGTCTGATTTGGAAACAGGTTCCAGAATGCGGAAAGGAGGGAGAGAGAGTACCTGGGTCTCCCGCCTTTGCCAGCGCCACTCAGGGATCCCTGCTCTGGAGCTGGAAAGAGCCGTAAGAATCACAACCACCCAAAACAAGCCCAATATAACCTTTTGTGGGGGGTTGTCAATCACAAATACCTATTACAGGTATACATTTGAACCTGACGCTTCACTTCTCTCAAATGTACAGCTCACCCAGGAGGAGGACTATGTGGTTTTTTTGAATTGTACAGTGTGGAACCCAACACCAATGCCATGAACGTCAGACCCAAAGGAGATGACAATTCGGAACAGGGGTTCTAGGATTCTGGCCTGGCTACTGATTGGTGAGGGCCCACTTACCTGCTCCTCTGCCTCCATGAGAAGCAAAGGGCCTGGGGAGCAGGGGTGCGGAGGGGCAGCTGCCACCGGCCCAAGTGGAATTCCTTCAGGCCCACCCTCAAACAACCTGTGTCTGGACATCAACATCCTTGCTTCTAGAAGTTATCTTCCACCTTGACTGACTCAGAAAGCTCCCTCATTGGTTTCCAGTGAGTTAAGCCCAGACAAAAGCTTTTTGATTGGATGTTAACAAGCTATTCAGGCTAACCTCCTGCCATATTCTTTAACTCTTCCTTAACTCAGAGGAGATCCAAGGATGGTTGAGGAAGTCATCATGGGCCAGCCAAACCCTATAGTTAGCAAATGCTTATTGTTAGCTTCATGGGCCAAACTCTCTAGTTTGCAAATGCTTATTGTTAGCTTTAACTTGAGTTCCCATTCTTCAAATCTGCCCCCTAACCTTTCTAGAACTACTTTAAAATACCTTAATAAATATAGGTTAAGTCGATCCTCCCCACCCCTCACTCATTCACTCAGAGGACTGTGGACTGAGGAGCCTGTGGAAAGCCGGCCACTCTGGCCCATTCCCATGCCCTACCACTCCCCTCACTGGAAACGTACCTTTGCCTCTTCTGAGACGTTCGCCATGTGCTTGGTCTTGCACTTTCGTTTTCCTGATGGCTTTTCTGAATTTTCAAGGCAGGCTGGCTCCTCCAGGTTATTTGGGAGGAAACCATTTGGTGAATCCGAGATCCCCTGGGCTTTGTTGGGCAAGAGAAGGTTCCTGTTCCTCAGGCGGTGCTCCGAACTTTGGGAGGAAGTCTTCTGCTTACGCGCCTTTAAATCTGAAGGCAAGAAACAGGAAAGAATGGATGTAAGGGAAATGGAACACAGAAAAGCAACACCTTCCTCTAAGATGAATCAGACAACATTGGGGATTAGACTCTTAGTCAAAGTTGTGTAATTGTCACCTACCACTGTCCAGTGCGGCGCTTGGACACCGCCAAGTGTGGATTGCACTAAATGCGTCTCGAATGGACACTGTACTTCAACATCAAAGTCCCTCCTCTACAAGTAGGAGACAACTCTCAGCCCTGCCAGCAGGGGGCGGCCCATCTGGCTATCCCTAAGATGAGGGCAATTTTAAAAGGATTTCCCCAAGCCCAGAGCAAATCCAAACTTGCTTTTCAGCTTTTCTCCCACCCGCTTTGTCTCTTTCTCCACTCCAATATGAAAACAGTTCTGCTGAAGTGAAGTATGAAGTATACTGGTGTGGGGAGTAAATGGTAGAAGGCTTCCCTCATAACCTCAGCTCGACCCACCCAACTGCCCTGTCGGTCACTCTCCAAGGACACAAAGATCAAAGCCACAGAAACTTCCTGAAACCAGAAGGTGCCATGGGCCTGCTTAACTGGCCAATAATCGCAGAAACTTGCTGCCTTGCCTGGTTGGAAATCAAGTCACTGTAACACACTGGGCAACATCTCTAATTCGAGCCACAGCTCACTGAACAAAGCGCATTCTAATTTCAAGAAAGCCTGCTGGGAACTCTATTATCAAGAGCCTCAGTCCACAGTCCACAGGGTCAGTCCTAAACCCAATGTGTAGGGGGACAGACTGGGTTTACTCTTAGCTCTTAACATTAGTTTTACATGGCTTGGCCACCAGCTCTGTGATCGGCTGGAGGCAGGTCATAATCACCCTGAGCCTCAGTTTCCATGTTTGTAAAACAGGGAGAATATAATCCACATCACAGGACTGGAACCAGAATTAAATGAGGTAACATACACAAAACTCCTTTATAAAGTGTCATAAAGAGTAAGGCATCATTATCATGTTATCTAAGTGCAAGCTCTTCAGGTAGGGCCATGCCCATGTGTTCTTTATCTCCCCCATAGGACTGAGCAGCATGCCTAGCACATGGCAAAAGATCAGCATGTTTATAAAGTGACTAACTGAAGCCTAGGTTTCTCCAATTTGTGAAACGAGGGCATTGAGCAAGATCTAAGAGTTCTCAACTCACCTCCCCCAACTTTGACACCTGCTCCCACGTGTGACATCGCCAACAGCAAATCCAGCTGTGGGAGTCATCATTACAGTGTGAGGAATTGGCTAAAGGTTATGCACAGCTCTTAGAAGGCCAGCTGTCATACCACCCCTTTCTCCCAACTAGCCCCAACCCACTAGTGCGTCCCCACACCTGTCCAAGCACTGTTGTGCTAGATAGCTTCTAATGGCACTTCCAGCCAGAACATTCAAAACCACGGTTTTTGAGGCAACAAGTTCTGGCTAAGGCAAAAGAGGAAGGAACAGAGCTGTGCCTCATGAGGACCCCAGGAAACATGGGGAAGCCGTATTATAGCATTCACAGGAAAAGCAGCAGCCCCCGACCCCATTTACCCAGAGCAGGGCAGGCTCTGGAGTTTGTTCAGTTGTGGAGAAGCAAGTGCTTCATGGCAGCATGGAAAGGAACACAGAGTAGAGGCAGTAGGCGTGTGAGCGGAAGTGTGGCTCTTCCTATCCCCTCTGCAGGTCAAGAAGGGAGATACCCAAGCCCAGGACGAAAGGAAAGGTCATGAGGCTCAGACAGGAGCAAGGTGACCCGTCTAGTTTGGCCTCCACCTGACTCTCTGATGTCAACCTGAAAGATAGGTAGTAATAAGAGGTATCAGAGCCTTCTGAGAAGAGAGATGTTTTCCAGGCAATTCCTTCATGAAGATGTCACCATCAAATCTGAATGAAAGTGACTAGATGATGTGCCAAAGCCAAAAGCCTCAACTCAAAACCCTTAGACACACACGTGGAGGAACAATGGCCTACTTTCCAGCAACTGGAGCTGTCCCCAAATCAAAGAGGACACCTTGCTAAGCGGCGTTCTCCATGCTCCTGGAGGTGTTTAAGGAAAGCCACCTGTCAAGAGTGCTGTGGAGATATCTGCATGGGGTGGAAAACGAGACTAGGTAACCTCAAAGGTCCTTCTGGTTCCAGAAGCCAATAAGTTCCATAAGAAGCTTCTAAGCTTCTAGGAAACCAGCCCTCAATAGAGAACACTGGGGGTTACAAAAGCTCCACTTCATCCTAACACTCAGTGGCTGAGGCCAATGGCCTGACAACTCATTCCTGACCAATCCATTACAGCTCCGGCAGAAAAAAGGGAAAATTCTCCCTACTCTCTCACATAGTTGATGAAAGTGAGCTCAATTATTCTCTTAAGTGTAGGGATAGGTAGTGTATATATTCCTACTTAGACAGAGCTGGAGATGAGGTGTAGCCTTCTTTGCATTATAGCAAACACGGAATGTACTACCCACTCAGTACGCGGCTACTCAGTTTGCGCTAATGAGGAGACTGCAGACATTGACCAGCAGCTCAGGATGAACACATTATAGGAGACAATCAATTGTTGCTTCAAGGGCAAAGGTCAGACAGAGTGTTCTCACGGAACCCAGAGATAGGCTTTTTGCTCATCTAGAAATCCACTATAGGAATGGGCCTGAACAGTACTTAGTGGAACATACTGACATTGGCCTCGGTGACAGTCTGTGCCTTCATGATTATATATTATAGCATCTGACGTGGCCAAAGAAAGCCTGGTTTTCTCCTTGGGCTGCCTGCTTTTCCAACTCAGGTCCAACAAAAATGATGCCACCTCAGCCGAGCTCAAAGCTTCGCTGTGCCTCTTAAGAACCTTTGTGGCAGTAACCGAGAAAGCAGAGTTGTGCCCACTTCTACTTGAAGTTCTTCTTTGGGTTGAGGAAACCATTGTACTTCTTTTTAGCTTAGGGGCTGGAGGCGTCCCAGGACAGGCAGCCAATGCCTTCTTTCTTCTTGAACCCAGGATTCTAGGAGAGAGAACCCAACCTCCCAGGAGACTCAACTCCCTCAAGCCAACCAGAAAATTCCCTGGTATCGAGTTGTCCCACGCCAAGGATGTCACTGTGGCCTTGCCCACAGGTTCAGACTTTCATAAGAAATTGGAGGGCTTGGGCTTTCATGTCCTCAGCTCACCTGTAGGTCAGTCCAAACTCATTTCATCTCAACCCCAAGCCAAAACCTCGGGCCTGGTGTTGAGTGACCCCCTCTGGCAGCTGAAGCTCATAGCACCAGGTTTCTACGGGCGCAGAGGCCTTTGGCTGGCGTAGAGAAGGCAGAGATGGGGACACCCAAGATGCCTGAGGCTCCCCAGAAGCCAAAGTCTCTGTGTTGTGGGGACAGGTGACAGCAGCTCACTGGGGCAGCAGCGCCCGCTGGCCTTACCTGCTCTCCCTTTCCGCCGCTGCTCCTCTTCCTGCTCGGTCAGGTACTCCCCAGTCTGATATTTGCGGCTCTTCTGCCGTCTCCGTTTCTTCCTCTTCACCAGGCCCTCCTCCTCTTCTTCCTCCTCCTCCTCATTAGTGTCCCACATTTGCCGGGCAGCCTCTGTCCTCCAGGGCATTTCTCGGGCTCGCCACAGATGCCTGCGGCCCTGGTTCAGCAGAGTCTTGTCCTGGGCATGGTGGCTGCGATACTGGGTGTCCCGTTGGGTCTTTCTCACCTTTCGACGCTTAGCCGGGGTGGGGGTCACCTCCTCTTCCTCCTCTGTGGGGAAGACTTCCTGGCTTCCCATGTCACTGTCTGCCATACCAGCAAAGGAGCTACAGATGCTTCCTGTGGACGGGATGTACAGAGGACGGTCAGGTACCTCTTCAAAGGACAAAGAGTATGGTGTCGAAGCAAGTGCCCCGGATTAGGAGTCTGAAGGTCTGGGTTCAAGTTCAGGCTCTGCCCGTTATTAGCTGTACGCTCTGGGAAAGTTCCTTCACTTCCGTTTCCTCGTCTATGAAACAGGGATACTGTTCTCTGCCTTACTGACCTCACAGGACTGTTTTGAGGGTCAAATGAGAAAATGCGTCCAGAAGTGCTTTACAGAGTCCAACATATCACACAACTATCAAGTATCCAAACCACGCAGCCTTCCTCATCCATGTTGCCACGCCTCTTTAACTCCTTCCACAAACTCAGTGCTTACACCACAGCACCAAGCATCGCGTGAGGGGCAGGAGAGGGCCGCAGGTCCCTGCCCTTTGAGCAATCAGGGTTTACTAGAGGGTGAGGGAGGGTGGACTGGTGCCCTCACCCCTGCTCACTATGTCACCACCACTCTCACTGACAGAGCCACCCTGGACAAGCAGAATCATCACAAAAGAAGAGTCTCAGGAAAAGCAAAGCAAGGAGTCCCTTTCCTGTGACACAGCCTGGTTTAGCCCCACCCAAATGCTCCTGGCCAGGCCCTCTTCCCTTATATTGACCCCACCTCCTATTGAGTGGCCGAGAGTCCAGGGGTGGAGCTTTCTTCCTGGCACCTCCCCCTGCCCCACAGCAGCTGTTCCTCCCCACTAGGCAGGCACTTCCCCTCTTCTCCTCACCACCCCAGGACGATAGTAGCTTTCCTGTCCTCCTCTGCCACCTTGCCAAGAGGCCATTTTCCTCCCCACTCTTCCCTTCAACTCTGCTAACAACAAAAGTACAATCCTCAATTGGCCCAGGAGATCTGACATCTTCCTCAGAAGCAGCTGAGACACCAGCATCTTTCCCCCAAGGCCCAGCTATTTACTGGACGATCCCCAAACCCAGGGAGGTCAACAGAAGAAAGAAATGGTTCAAGGCAGACAGCGTGGCCCCTGACCAAAGCTTCAAGTCAGTGAGATCGCTTAAAGACAGCAAATAGCGAGCAAACTTTCCGTTATATAGACCAGGCAGGGAACGAAGTGTTCCGGTTAATCTAATATTCTGGTTAATACAGAATCACCATAGAGATCACACAAGGATCACCAATTTCCAAAGAATCAAATAAAGTACAATGTGTTTAACACTAAAATGAGACTGGCCATAACGTAATCGCTCTTTGATGATTCAGAGGACACTTCAGGATTTTGCGAGGCCTCCAGGCTATCATTACGATCCCCAATTACCACTGTGCTCTCATGTGCTGAGGTGCCAGTTAATAGAATGTCAGATAACTGAGTTTACACTGCGCCCCGCTTCCCCATTCTACCCACTCTGCATGGAAATCTGGGTGAACGGGGGCAACCATTTCCAGAGCTACGTACCAACATGGAGGCTAGCAGACAACAGTGGTGGCTGGAAATGGCTACCCATTTTTAGACACTGGGGGTTGACCAATATAAATTAAGGGGACCAAATGTGATTGTGCTGGCCATGATGACTCAATGACCATTTCTAATTTTGATGATGCCTGTCACATAGGGAACTAAGACAGAGGCCCAAAGGTTAAAGGTCCGTGCTGAGATTGGCCCCAATATTCATGAGATGCCAAAGGTTGGAGTAGAACCAGTTTTCCTGAGTGGCACAGGCCTTTCCTCTTTCCACCACTGGCTGCCAACAAGAGATGTCAAATCTCTGTTCTGAAAAGTTAAGCAAACAGTCCTAAAATCATGGGCCATGCCCTCCATCCCCACCCCGGGCTCTCTTGTCTCTGCAAGGAGCTGGGCATCTTGGCAAAGGGAATCAAATTCCCAACTCTCCACCTGGGCCGACGGCGAAATTGCTCTACCAGATTTCGACCTGTCTTCACAGAGAAGTACGAAGACGGGCCACGGCCTCGGACTCACTCACCAGACTGACTGCGTGTCCGCGTGCTCAGGACCACAGGGATGAAGTCACGGAAACTGCTCTTTGCTTTCTTCTCCAAGGAACCTGGAGTGATGTGTCATTTCGGGGCAGAAGGCAGAAACATCACAATCAGTCTAAGGACTGGAAAGCCTCACTGAGAGGCTCAGATGGAAAAATCAAGGGAGGGTTTGTGTTTTCCCTGGGTTACATTTATTAGCTCCCCTTATGCTGCTCTCACCTACGTATCTCTTTTAGAGAAGGAATGTTTCCCGGTGGTTTTCAAAAACTTGGAGTTGGGTCATTTTTGCTGACACCAAAAAAGGCAGTGCGTGGAATCGATTCTCCAGCAAGCCAGAAAGTAGAAGGCCTGGCTGCCTGTATGACTGCGAGGCTGTTGCACCTCCACAAAGTTATAACTGAGCTGGAGCAGGTCCCAGAGAAGGGCAATCTCGCTGAATCTTAGAGGATTGAGTGACACAGGGAGATGGGAGCAGGGAGTGGTGGACAGAAGGAAACTGCTATATAAGAACAGACTAGAAAGAAGCAGGTCACGTCAGATGAGCAAGGCCATGAACACAGGCTACTGTGGGCAGGAATACTTGGGCTTCTCTCTCTGATGAGGGTGCCAAGAAACTATTAGTGGCAGGGCCTACAGATTAAGTACACACCTCCCCACCCCAAACATCCTGTGTATCCTTAAATAATAAGAGTTTAGGATTTCTCTTTTTTTTTTTTAAGTATGCCTTTTGGTGAGGAAGATTGGCCCCGAGCTAACATCTGTTGCCAATCCTCAAAGCCGGAGTACATAGTTCTATATCCTAGTTGTAGGTCATTCTAGTTCTTTCATGTGGGATGCCACCACAGCATGGCTTGGAGAGCACTGTGTAGGGCTGCACCCAGAATCTGAACAGGCGGACCCAGACCGCTGAAGCAGAGCATGCGAACTTAACCACTATGCCACCAGGCCAGCCCCCTGGGATTTCTTGAAACTCTGCTAGCTTGCTAGATAGCTATTAATTTTTAACTTTTTATAATGGAGTTTTCAAATATACCAAAGGTGGAGAAAACAGTGTAATGATCCCCCATTCTGCTGTTTTGGTCTCAATTGTCATTAAACCTGTTTCTTCTCTGAACCTAGACCCAGTGTAGAGTAATGGGCTGGCTATTCCGTTGTAGGACTGACTTTTGTCTGTCTGAAAACCATCTCCTTCAGCCTTCAGAAAGTGCCTTATTCTAGCAACCAGGGTGAGCAGAATAAGCCCCTTGTCCCTTCTCCCTTGCCTTTGATTTCAGAGGTGTCAATCAGATCTTCCTTCCATCATGAGGAAGTCTCACTTTTCTGGTCTGTCGTGGAGCCCCTCCCCCCAAGCCGCCATAGAAATCCCTCTGCAGCCCAGCCTGGAGGGCCAGGACCCGCAGAGCCTACCTTCCTCGTGGCCATCAGCTCGTTTTCCTGGAGACTGGGACTCCGGCTTTGTTGGCTTCCGGTGCTTGTGCTTTACCCTGACTCCATTGTGCTCTTTTCCTGAATCTGGAGCCCCCCTGGGGCTTTTCTTGGTAGGTTCCTGGGGGTCACTAGGCGGCTTCCGGCACTGTAGAGAGGTAGAGAGAGTCAGGACTGAGATCAGTTTCACTTCTGAAGATAGCTCACCTAATGTTGAGCCCTGTGCCCCGTTTCTGACACACGGACAGGAGCTGCCCAGGTGGGGGCCCGGGGGAAGGGGCCGCCTGCTGCCTTCCACAGCGGGCTACAGAGGCTTTTTTGGACTGAATCCAGCGCCATAGTTAATCCCCATAGACATCCACATCCCATCATTTTAAACAGGTCTACAGAGTCTACATTCACAAGCTGAATAAACACCCCAAGCCACTTTAAAAGGTGCAAAGTCAGGCGCCATACTCTACATCCAAACAGCAGTAGCGAGCCGGGCAGAAGACAAACGTGTGTCTTCCGCAGGTTGGGTGACCACACTGTTGGAATCCCTCCACCGTGGGTACTGACACCACCGACTGAAGATAATTCTCAGCACGGGCCAACTCAAGAAAAATGGTCTATTTTCATGTATAACAATACCAGAAAACAGATTCAACTAAGGCAAGAAGAAAGGCACAGCACAGGAGCAATTCGAATCTCCCCATACTTACACAAGACACTTTCAGGGCCTGTTCAAGGCCCGGGCACTGTTATTAATCATGCCACTTTATACTCTGCCGCATTCTCAACTCTTCAAAATGCTCTCTTCTCTACTATTTTATTTGATCTTCCCAACAACCCTGAGAAGAAAGCTACTATCATCCCCATTGAACAGACAAGGAAACTGAGGCTCCAGGACAAGAGGTTAAATGATTTGTCCGGGGCAACACACAGCCCAAGGCATCCACTTGCTCAGGGGCTGCCACTTACCAGGCAGACCTGCAAGTTAGCTCATTTGGGCTTGCAGAGAGAAAGTGGCAGAGCTGGGACCAAGACCCAGGGCTCCTGGCTCCCAGCCCCGGCCTCTTCGTATCGGCTCTCATTCCCTCTCCTTTCCTACTTGTGTCCTCAACTGTTTATGCTCAGCCCACTCACACCTACTGCCCAGTGCATCAGATAGGCATGATGCTTGTGCCTGCACACCACAAGGACACTCTCGGCCTAACAGTCACATATTCTCACAAGCTTTGAGGTCTCTCGAAGCCATTAAACAAGACATAGGGCAAGGTAGGGATTTCCAGTATTCTAGTATCCAGGGAGTGCAGAATAAGAAAACGTTTTAACAATCAAAGCAGGCCCAAAGAAGAACTGTCTCCCCCCAAGCACATCCACACACCATCTTCTTAAGGTTATCAGTGTCCAGCTTCAGCTTAGGGGATGGCAGATACCTCATTGACGGAACATCTTCTGGGGTGTGGGGGGAGGGAGAGAGTGTGTCTCGATTCTGCAGAGACAGGGAGTCTCCGCTCCCCATCGAATTCCAGGGACTCGGACTATCCCATGACCTCCTCCCGCTCCATATTCAGCAGAAGGCTGAGCTTAAAATTCAAGTTCAGCTTGTTGCCACTTCCTACAAACCAAAGTGTGAGGAGAAAGAATCGGGGAAGAAAGAGGAAGATGGGGGAGTGCTTCGTAAAGTCTGACCTTCAGGTATGGCAGGAGAGAAACCACTTTAAGTCAAGGTGAATGAAGTTCAACGCACATAAATTTGAACATGTCCTATTTATTTCTGAATATCATTTTTAGCTGGCTCTCAAGTACAGATCATTAACTTTTACTTCCCAAGATAGACAAAAACAAGTAAAACAGAACATCTAGAAGGGATTTCTGTCTGTATCTTCTGCAAAGGCAGCACTGAGAGTAAAAATATATTGTACACTCCAACTTGGGCAAAAAGTTGGGAGGGTGGGGAGACCGCGGAAGACAAATGTTCCAGTTAACAGAGTTTTCAAAGGTTTTCCAAAGGACAAGTAGACAGGAAGATACACCCAACACCAGACGGAGAACTCTGCTGATGATTCAGAAGGCCCTTCAGGATTCCACAAGGCCTGGGGGCAGGTGGCGCTGGAGACTGGAGACTATTCTGTTCTTGGCCAGACCCTTGAAAGGGGCTGTTTGGAATTAACCCTTCATCTTAGTTTGCTTGCCAATGGTTTCTTTCTCAGAGAAACACAAGAAGAGGAAGATCTAAATTGTTTGGTCTCTCGAAAAATGAACATTTACTAAATCATTACAGGCAGTCGCTAAGGGCTGCTTCCAGGCCTCTGATCCTGTAACTTTATTGTCTGCCCCGTGCATCTGTCAGAGGGCCCAGGGAACTGTTCTCCTAATACAGGAAGGGGCATGCCTGCCTGTTACTGAGTCATCTGCAAGACATAAGCTCCATGAGGGCAGAGACCACGTCTATTTTGTTGGCAACACTCACAATAACAGCAGCAGCCAGGAACACTGAGCACTCACTATGTGCTAGGCACTGTTCTAAACGTTTACATATAATCACCTCATTTAGTCTTTTTTAACATAGGCTTTGTTGACATATAATTTATTGAGATACAGTGCACAATTCATTTATTTAAGTTTACAATTCAATTGTTTTTCGTACAGTCATAGAGTCATGTAACTATCATCACTATCTAGTTCCAGAACTTTTTCATCACCCCAAATGGAAACCCTGTACCCATTAAGCCGTCACTCCCCAATTCCCCATCCCCTCCAGCCTTAGGCAACCACTAATCTACTTTTTGTCTCCGGCGATTTGCCCATTCTGGACATTTCACATCATCATCTCATTAAATCTTTATAAGCCGTATAAGTAGGCACTACTATTGTCTCATTGTACAGATGAGGAAACTGAGGGCCAGAGGGATTAAGTAACTTGACCAATTATCACACAGCTTGGAAGAAGTAGAGCCAAGATTCAAACTCAGGCACTGGACCTGGCTCCAGAGAGCACACTCCTCATCAAAATGCTGGGCCATCCTCCTGAAGATGGATTCCCACTGCCTGGGAGAGACTGGCATGTAGTAGCTGATCAACAAATGCTTGCTAAGTGGTCAGCGAAACAGCAATACACAAGGAGAGTGGGAGATAGTGTGGCATAGCTGAAGATGAACATGAACTTTGGAGCCAGTGAGCCCGGAGTTTGAGTTCCAGTTCTGCCATTTAACAGCTGTATAACTTTGGGTAAGTCACCCACTCAGTCTGTTTCCTTCATTTTCTTATCTGTAAATTGGGTATAACCTTAACTTCATAGGGTATTGTAAGGATTAAGTTAAATAACATATGTAGGAAGCACTTGGTATATAGTAGGAGTTCGACAAATGGTAACAACTATAACAACATGAGTTATTATATTCTTAGTACCACCAAGGGCAGATCGCATTTACCTGAGCAAATGCTATAAATATGCTCTCCTACGTCATGACCTATGTTCTGACTTGGCATGTCTCTGCCATACAGAGGGGGCTGTGAGGTCACTGAGAAAAACCCACCCAAACTCTATCCCTGGGGTTCTTTTTTTTTCTTTTTAAGATTTTGTTTGTCCTTTTTCTCCCCAAGAGCCCTGGTATATAGTTGTGCATTTCTAGTTGTGGGTCCTTCTAGTTGTGGCATGTGGGATGCCGCCTCAGCATGGCCTGATGAGCGGTACCATGTCCACGCCCAAGACTCGAACTGGCGAAACCCTGGGCCGCCGAAGCAGAGCACGCAAACTTAACCACTTGGCCACGGGGCCGGCCCCTCCGTGGGGTTCTTAACCTGGAGTCCACGGGTGGGTTTTGGGAAGGAGGTGGGTCCACGAACCTCCTGAAATGACTGGCAAAATTCTGAGGTCATGTTTCTGGAGACAGGGTCCACAGCTCTCATCAGCTCCTCAAAGCGTTTTACAGTCCAAAAAAGATTAAGAGCTTCTGCCACAAAGAAATTCATGGTGCTCCAGCTAGAAAGTTACTCGTTAGTGTATATCAACATCCAATTTGAAGACTTGTTAACATAACTTCAAATTAATCCAAATTTGGAATAAGCCCTATCCTCAACTGCTTCAAGAATCTCCTTGGATCACCAGTGGCCTCTGGATCCCCTCTAGAGGACCACTGGATTCAAGTGGAGTCCTCCGGCCCACCTTTTTGCCTAGAACTCTGGCACCATCCTTAGCCTATTAAGAACCCAGACCCAGATGCCCACATGCCTTGCACACCAAGTTCCCAGTGGGCTGAAACCCAAAGCTGCCACCCCAAGCATGAGGCAGGAGGAAACGGGTGGATGAGCCCAGAAGCCAAACTGGCTCTGGCCCCACAAAACTCCAAGCAAATCCTGAGCAGGCTCTCCCAGTGGTCAGAGAACAACCCTGGCAAAGGCCCCTTCCCTCCCTAGGCCCCAGGTTTTCAAGGCCGACGGCAGTCTCAAAAAAGGAAGAGGAAGAATTGTTCTGCAGGGAAGGGCCTGTTATTAATTGATTTCCCTCACCGATACCTTCTTCCGCTTTCCAACCTCATCTGGGACAATGGATTCCCTAGCCTCAGGGACCGAATCATTTCCCACATCCTACAAAATACAAGCCAGCCCCTCCCCATGTGCAAACACCATATATGGAGAATATGACTTAGATAAGGGACAGCAGGTCATTATTCACATTACACAAGCCTTCCAATCAGTTGGGTTCACAGAGCTACTCAAGAATGCCATCACGTCACAGGTTGACCGGCCCTGCTCTCAACCTCTGCCCGGCACTCACCTTGGGTCCGTGAGAACTCCGGACTATGGCCTTGGCTTGTGGCTGTGGCTCCTCACCATCCTTTTCTTTGCTACACTTCATTTTCTTGGGTGGCAGAGATTCAGTCACCCCATCGGTCACCACCGAGTCTGGCTGCCACTTGTTCTTGCAAGCAAAGACGCCTATGCTTTCCTGTTTCACTCGAGCCTGCCCGGCCTTACTCCGAACTTCAGCTTGGCCCCGCTGGGGAGCTGCTGGGAGGCCATCGGCCCGGAAGCAGGTGGCTAAATTGAAGACCACATCACCGTCCACCTTCTCCATTTTCACCCGCCCCAGGTCCACCTGGCTTCCAAGCTGTGAAAGCTCTGTGCTGGAGCCCCTCTTGCCGCTCGGGACCACATCCAAGATAAGTTCCTTGGGGCGGCTGTCATGAGGTAGCAAAGGCAGCTCGGGCATCTTGCGCAGGTTCTGGGGGGTGGCCAGGACCAGCTCATGGGACATGTAGGTGGCCAGCACTTGGTTCTTAGGCTTTGTGTCTCCTGCCAGCTTCAGACCACAGGCCCCCTGGGGGCCTTCCATCTTAGGAGTGCCATCAGGGCAGAGGTGGCTCTCTGATTCCTCAGGCCCCTGATTCACTCTGATGTCCCCACCGCTAGGCTGAACTGACAGCGCCAGGGTCCCTGTCTGAGGGCTGAGAGTCAGGAGGACAGGGTTGACTTGTTCTTCGTAAGGCTTGGCAGCAATCCGGCAAGTTTTATTCTTTGTGCCAGTGTCCTGCTCTGGAGCAAAGGGGCCCCCAGGCCGTGGTTGCCCCTCAGGAAGTCCATGCACAGCTTCACTGGGGCCAAGAGAGGGCACACCAGAAAACTCAGAAACAACGCTGGTGGGCTTGATGGGCACCCCCTGACTGGGGGTCAGCTGCCCCGCACTGGAAATGCCAATGGAAAGCAGAGACGCTTGGTGGTATGGTGACCAGCCAACAGGCAGGACCTGGGTGCTGGTGGGTTTCCCGTTGACTGAACACCGTGGGTAAATATTTGCTGGCCCTGTGGGCTTCCACAGAGAGAGCTCCTTGGTTTGGCATCCAGGCAGCCCAGGGGCGATGCGGGCTGGAGTGTAACGTTTGACTGTGCTTGGCTGTCCCTCAGTCCCAGCCTGGCTGCCCTTTTTGCCACAGGGGGCACCGGTGCTCTTAGGCTCTCCTTGATCGATGATGGAGATGGGCTCCTGCTTGGGGAGGTGGCGGGGGTCTCGGGTGAGGCCCAGGTTGGGGTCTTTGTTCAGCAGCAGGGAGGCAGGCACTGGGTTGGCCACTCCCACGTAGGTGCCAGGAATGGTGCTGATCAACGCAGTTGAGTTCTTCACCCAGGTGCTTGGGTCCCCATTTCTCACAATCTCAGGAAAGATGACAAAGGGAGAGGAAGTGGAGCCCAGGCATGAGGTGACATTGCTGCTGGCAGCCTGGGTTGTGCGCTGAGACCTAGATAGGACTGTGGAGAGGAGGGCCTTGCTGCTGGTGTGCACAGGGGTCAACACAGGCATGGGGGGTGTCTTGCGTTGGTTCGGCAATGGAAGCTTCTGGCGGTTGGACTTGGAGGAGAGGTCGAGGGGCATCTCGCTGCACTCGGGTGGAGAGGCCATCTCTCGCTCCAGCTGTGGAGGTGACTTGAGGGGAGAAAAGGTGACAGAAGTCCCTTCTGTTTGCTGCTCGGTGCCACCTGGCATCTTGGCGGGGTGCGGTGGGGCGGAGCTCACACTGGGGGCTGGCAGCAAAGGTTGTGGAGTTGGAAGCACCTTGGCAGAAGCGGTAGAGAGGGAAGTATCTGCCAAAGGCCCAGAGACCCCATCTGGCGCAGGCTGGGTGCTGGTGCTGCTGGATGGGGAAGCACAGGGAAGCCTGTTCACCTCCAGAGAGACCAGCTTGGAATCTGAAGTCAGAGGCCGGGCCACAGAAAATGCATATGGGTAAGACCGTAGCTCTGGGGAGGCCAGAACACCAGGGAGACACCTGTCCTGCAGGTAGGATGGCAGGACAGGGAGTGTAAGAGTGGAAGAGACCCCCAGGGTGGTTGGCAGTGTGGCCACACTGAGTGGCTGCCCACAGCTTGGAGGCGGGATATATACCAGCGGCTGGCTCGGGGTCAGTACTGTCCCTGGCTGAAAGGACAGGGGGACTTTTTGCATAGCTGGTGCCTGAGCTGCAGGAAAACACACTCGACTCAAACTAAAGGAGGCTGAGATGGGTGCAGAGGTGGGAATAGCAGTTGGTGTGGCAGCCGGCATGGGCGTGGGGGCTGGAGTAAAGATTGGGGCTGGGGTGGGTGCAGGCACTGGCGTAGGAGCAAAGGCAGGGATGAGGGTGGGGGTAGAAGGAGGGCCAGAAGATGGGGTTGGGGTAGGCATCGGCACTGACGGAGGGGCGGGAGCTGCTGGAGGTGTGGATGCCGGCATGGGAGCCAGAACTGGAGTGGGGACAGGCGCAAGGACCAGGGTCGGAGCCGAAGGGGGCACAGGAGCTTGGATCAGAGCCAAGGGAGGAGCTGAAACTGGGACTGAGATGGGGGTAGGGGCTGGAGCCGACAGGGGAACGGGGCCGGAGGGGGGAGCAGAAGCTGGTACGGGCACCAGGACTGAGGCCGAAACTGAAAGGGGGTTCGAATCAGAGATGAGTGTGGGCACTGATGGTGGTGCCGGAGCCAGAGCCGGGACTGGTGCTAAGGGAGGGGAAGGAGCCGGAACCGAAGTGGCAACCTGGACAGGAACTAGCCCAGAATGGGGCACCGGGGCGGGAACGGAGAGGGGAACCTGGAATTGATCCGGAACAGATGGGGGGACAGAGGCCGAACTGGGAGCAGGGGGGCAGATGGGAGCTGGCAGCGGACTGAAGTTGGTGGTAACCAGAGGCAGGGTTCCCTCCACAGGGACTCCAGTTCCGAGAGTTGCCAAAATGAAAGTATTCTTCTCCCCGACACCCTGCCGAGAGTCCAAGGCCTTTACCCCAGCTGGTGAGCAGTCTACCTGTTTGCTCATTTGGGTGCTGAGGGGAGTCCAGGAGGAGTCGGCTCTGCTGCTGCTGGCCTCAGTGCTGTCAGCAGCGGGAGGCTTGAGCCCGTCTCCTGGGCTGCTCAGTGGCACCAAGAGGCCTTCAGCCTCTGCCACATTCCCAGCATAGTCCATTTTTGGCTGGGGGTCGTCAGGCTTGTCCTCTGACTTGTGCCCAAGTTTTTCTGTTGCACTGCCATCTGGGTCTGCCCCCCGGGCATTGCTGCCACTTCCAACTGCTGTGAGCTCCACCTGCAACGACAGAGCAGCATGCCCATCTTAGCTGGCTCTCTGTGGATGCTACAAGTGTCCCAAGGCCCGGGAGAGGCGACTGCTGGTCCTCTTTGCCACTCGACCAACCACGTCTCGGAAGAAGCAAAGAGAAGCTGGCCAATTTCTGTCTCACATACAGCAACTCCTGGGAAATACCCTGGCCCTTCCTGCTCCCTTTCTTGGGATGGCAGGCTGGGCATGTCACCCAGGCAGTTCAGCTCCACCCTTAAGCGGGTGGCATGTGGCTCCTTTCCTTACCTTGGAAAAACTGCTGCTGACACAAAACTCCTGAGATCCAAAGCGCTGGCAGTCACCTGTCGTGGACTCCTCATCAGAAAGAGGTGCTCTTCTAGCATGGGAGACACAACCAGAGAAGGGCCATGAGGCCTAGTCTTTGGGCCACCGCCACCTTCCCCAGAATGTCCCCTGCCTGCCTGGGTTCCCATAAAATCTTCCCGTCTCACTTCCCTTGGTCGCTTGGGGGAAATCAGAAGGAACTTGGGGGTCCAGGTCACAAACCGGAGCCTCCACACTCAGCTTTGCAAGTTCCTGCAAAGGAGCCCGATCTGACTCGACCCTCCTCCTTGGGCCATGGATCTTGTTTTCTAGGGCTCTCGCCAGGAGTGTGGAGAACACCACAGCATCTTTGCCTTATTGCCTGAGCTTACCCATCAAGGTGGCCATCCAGGAGGTAGTGGGCATTGCCAAAAGGGGAGAGGTGAATCACAGACGATCTCAAAAGGCATGCAAACTGCTTTTCTCTTAAATGGGATCTTATTTTAAGTCTATATGGGAAGCTGGCTGCAGCGCCATAAGGGTAACCCTTTTCTAAGACAAATAACCACCTCCATTGCATTTCATGTTCTAAATCTGAATCATCACCTATTCACCTGCTGGGCTTGCCTAGAGCAGATACACATTTATTAGCACACGTAATGGTACTGATTCGAGGCCACCAGGTCACTGGGTGCTAAGGGGCATCTCCAAGGCATGACTTCTTTCCCCTCAGGGAGCCTCCTCCCGTTTTCTAGAGTTCCACCAGCTTCCAGCCAGTGCCCTCCCTCCTACCCTTCTACCCATGCCTGCATCCCGCCCCTGGCCAGCTCCCCACTCTCCTCTTGGTCTCCCAGTGCCACCGCATTCTCTCCCATCCCAAAGAGAGGCCTTCAAGGCCACAGACCCCAAAATCAATTTGGTACATTGCAGAGGGAAGGGCTCCAGGCCAGAGAGTTGAGTCTCAAAGGAGGAAAACTCAACTGTACCCCCATCTGCTCAAAGTCTTCTCCAAATTTTGGGTAAGAATCTTAGAAAATGGTAGATCCTGACCAAAAAAAAAGAAAAAAACAGGTCAGACTAGGAGGGCAAAGTTGAAGAGAAGAAAACACCGACTGGAAGTTTGGTATTCTGAATACAGCAAGAACGGCCCACTGTCTGTCCTAGGGAAGACACCTGTGGGGCAGGAGTCGGGGTGAGAGGGACCAGTGGAAGGTCTGGGTGCAAGATGAAAGCTCTAGGAGAAGTGCTGCGGGGCGGCTCCCATGGGGCAGAGCACAGGAACGCTCTGCACACCTCTGGGAAGGCATCGGCCTGGGGTTCGCCCCCCTTTTCCAGGGCCTCGCCCTGAGCTCTGTGACAGCCCAGGAAGAAGCCAGCATGGCCTCATCAGGGTGCCCAAAGGGCAGTGAGGGGGCCTGCAGCCAACCCCATAAGAACAGGGAGGGCCCTGCTAATTCCCTCCCTCCCACTGGAACAGGCACGGACTCCAAAATTCTACCTAGCCAAGAGAAGCAAAAAAGCCAAGGGGATCACAGCGGGCCTCTCCCCGTCTTCTCAGGGCTCCAGAAGGGGCTAACGGGGTGGCATGGGCTTATTCCCTTTAAAAGGCAGCTAGGCTGACAGAAGTGGGAGGGTCCCACTGCTGGCAACAACTGTGAGTGGCAAACACAACCAATCATAAGGACAGGCAAGGGCTGGAGACTCAGTCAAGGTCTCAGGGAAGGGGAGGAAGGGGGACCTGAGGCAAAGGGAAAACACACTTTGACATCAACTCCTGAGAGACAGGAAAAGTAAGACCTATACCCAGCCTTGGACCAGGGAGAAGCGTGCTCCAACTAGACTGGCCAGGGAGGATTTGGGGGAAGGATGGTGGTGAGGGGAAACAAGCAGCAGTGCACCCCCCTTCACCAACCCCACATGAGGGGCCACAGACGGAAGACGCTATTTATTTATATTCTTTCCCCTTCTGACCATAAAAAGGGGAGCTGGCTGCACCCTTGACCCCCCTTACTCAGTTCCCACCCCACATAAAATCACCTTGAAAGCAGAAACCCTGCCCTTGAAGGCAGCCACCAGAGAGTGGCAGAGCCAGCCGGCCCAGAGACTCTCGAGGTGGCAGTGGGAGCAGCAGTCCTGGCTACTCCAGGCATACCCGTGCCTGAGTGCCAGCCCCCAAGGCTCTGGGAAAATGTCATGAGGCCACATTTCCAATCCTCTGAGGAGAGGGGTAGGCAAAGCTAAGCGAACGTTAAATTGCTCCATTGAGAGAAGAGCCTGGGACAGGAATAGCTTGCAGGGGAGGAGTGCACAGGGAGAGCTGGGTCAGTTGGGCAAGGTGAGGAGGGTGCGGGTGGTGGGGAGGAGGGAGCAGGGGTCAAAGAAGGCTTCAGTCAGGACTGAAAATCAATCCACCATTTCTTCCCTACAGAGACGACCCTGGGCTGTTATGCTCAAGGCTTTGCTGAACTTAAGCCAGAAACGGCCATAACCTTTCAGGGCCGGTTTTCTAATTACTAAGGGTGAGCACCACTGTCAAACTGGACCTTTGTCAGTTCCTGCTGGGCCCTGCCTACCCGGAACACATCGGGCTCCTTATCTTCTAGCCCCGGCAGACTTTCCCTGCTTGAGTTCCACTGCACCCCGAGACCGGCCTCATTCCAGCCAGGGCCTTCCCCAAACACACCGCGTGGGAAACACCAACCCCCGCCTCAAACTCCTACTCATCCCTCAAGCGCAGCTCACATGTCATTGCCTCTGGGAAGCCTTCCCCTATTCCCCCAGGAAGGGTGTCATTCTTACACTGGACTCCCACAGGACCTGTACATGCCACTCACCACCAATGTCCCATGACTATCGGTTTGCTCTCCCTGGGTTAACAAGTATTTGTTAAATGAAGAAATGAATGAGTGCAAGAAAGGAAGCAAGTAAGCAAGAAAACAGCGATTTAGCTGGAGGTCTGACCAGAGTCAGCCACCTGGGGCTAGCAGAAAGCCCCTGCCTCCTGTCGCTGCCGGCCTCAAGTATGCCTGACGGAGCCGGGCAGGCTTCTCAAACCTAACTTTCAGAGTTAACCCCCCAGGTGCAGCTTTGTCCCCCAAACTCCTAAGTTCTACAAGTTGTAAAGCGCCCAGGAAGATGGTTTCTAAATCAGGTGAGATCACATTTTGGAAATCAGCTGTAGCACGGCCTAGACTGTGGCAGGAAGGTGACAATAAAGGGTAGAGGAGACCAGAAGTGACAACACTTAAAAGGTCATCTTAACCACTAGGCATATTTGGTCATTTAACATCCCAAGAGAGGTCCAGAAAGAGGGAAAATCAGGTTTTGGGCCCACTTCCTGCTCCTTTCTCAGCAGAGATTTAGAATGGACAGGGAACCAAGGTAACTTGTCATTGATTTTTTTTCTTTGAAGGCTCTAGTCCAGGTCTCTGCATCAGAGTCTCAGCTACTTATAACTAGTTGCCAGTGAACACTTACACAAATCAATACCACCACCTGCCTTCCCCCAGGTCAGCTCTTAGTAATTATCTCAGGACATACCTCATATGCAAAGGAAAATACCTTTCTTGTGCTGATCTGAGAAGAATTTTGTCTTATTTTCCTTGGTCTTCACATTTATATTCTAAAATTAAATCCCTTTTAAGTCGATCTCTAAGTTGTTCCTCAGCTTAGAGAACATTAAACCATCAGGTGCTAATGGCTTTATAAAAATAAAAAGGTCTATTCTCCTAATCTGAACCTCACACAAGTACACACTTCTCCAGTTAAGAACAGAAGAAGAAAGTAGATACACGCGAAGACGTCCATTCCTTTCCCTTCAAAATTACGAACACTCCCCCACACGCACACACACCCATGCACAGACTTCCAAGATTTACCCAAGCAAACGCCAGATCTTGAATCCCAGGAACAGCCATATCATTCTGTGTTCTAGGTGATTGAGCTGATGTATTTGGATTTACACAGTCAAGGGACTGAAATGATAGCTGAACGCCAGCAAGCATGGGGGAGCCACACCTTCTCTAAAAATGGGAGAGGCCTGGCAACCATCATACATAGCTCTTTGGCCAAGGGTTATGAAAGTCAAATATAAAATCTGAAGGCCATTTTGAGTGCCCTTCGTCTGGGGCAAGATCAGGAAATGGCACAGCTTGGTCACCCAAATATTTTGGTGAACAGGAGACTGCAAGCACACACAAATCAGGCAGGCATCATCAACTCTCGATTCTGTATGAAAACAACGTTAGGCGGTTTGATCTTTCTTTGATACTTCCTAAGGATCTCACTGCGAATCGTCATTAGCCTCGTGAGGCAGGAAAGTGCTGATCACCAGAATACCCACTAACAGTTCCCAGTATAAAGCTAAATGATAAAACTGCCTTTCTTCCAGGCTTAGATCAGGACCAAAAATATCCTACGCGTATCCTTGAGCACTGAACATGGATGCTGCAAATAAAAACTGCCGTCTCCTGAGCTTCCCCTTACTCCACCATCTGACAGTTCTTAATGAGTAGACAAATACTAATTGGCAAAAGGTCATCTGTTGGCCTCCTCACCTTCATCTGAACAGGGACAGCATGGCAGAGCAGGCCACTCACACAGCCCCAGCCCCATCCCGTCTCAGGAAAATTAGAAACAACCAACAGCCTCCTCCCCAGGGTCCCTCCCCAGGCCCTGCGGTGGCTACCCCTCTGGTGAGTAGGTACCGCTCATGAGAAGGCAGCAACAGCCAAGGTACCTTCCCAGCCTCCTCACCTCTCTTCGTTGATGCCACACATGCGAATCCGGTCAGAACTGGTCCAGTTGTGCACGCCGCTGTAGAGCGGTGCTGTAGAGATCATGACAGCCACTCACCACCAGACAGACCAGCTGTGGCCACTCCCCCTGGGGAAAAAGAACCCCCAAAAATCAAAACTCCTACCAGGGACAGCTGTTTTAACTACCTTTAACAAGGAAACAAACAAAGGTAATCATAGCACCAAAATGTTAGTGCAGTCTCTCTCATAAACCTGCTATGGAAAATTTCCATCCAAATGGGGATGAGGGAGCACCAGCTTTCCAGGAATCCATAGGTTTCAGGATGGAGACCAGAACACTGCTAATCACCTAGAGTGATTTTTAAATTATCTTAAAGACAGATATGCTTGAGTGTTCGAGGAAATTCAATCTATTTCAGACAGATGAGATGACAGTATATTTTTCTACACACATTTAGCCTAACCAACCACAATTAGGGGGTCGTTCCCACATATGAAGAGTGCATTGAAAGACTACTGGGGACCTTTTTCTCGTCAACTCTCTAATCCATGGGTACTGAAGTATTTGACTGATGTAGCCAATTTCTCTCCAGAGGCAGCACATGCTTTCTTTACAAGCCCTTCAAAAATACTCTACTCTGATCTTGAGTTGGCAGTTACATAGATAAAACGCATCTATTCTAACCTAGTTTAAAGTTCCCTCCAAATCAGATGAAATACTTATTGTCCTCTGACCACAAACAAGCAAACAAACAAAAAACACTGTTCCATCAAGAACCACACATTTCTGTCTTTCCTATCGGTCTGCCATCCCCATGACCTACCACCCCCTTCACCAGCCAACCTCCAGCTCTTACTGTTGACAACCAATGCAATTCACGTTCCAGAGAAAAAGAGGCATCAAGACAAAGAGGTTTATGCAATGAGCTTGTCTTGAGACCCTTAAACCCTTGAGTTAACTTATTAGCTAAAAGCCTTATTCATCAAGCTCAACTGAACAGAACCCTACAGTGATCAGAATTTGATGCTGTTCTCCACTTTCCAAAGAAGTAAATCACAGTAAAATATCGTCACATCAGGGATTTGTTTCATTTATCCTTTGAGCAATTTTCAGAGATTGTCCATATTCAACACAATATCACTTATTCATTCAACAAATATTTATTGAGCGCCTACTGTGGGCCAGCACTGTCCTAGGTACTGAGGATTCAACAATTAACAAAAAGGGCCAAAAACCTCTGTCTTCATGCAGCTTATATTTTAGTGGGATGAGACAGACAATAAACATGTTAAATGATTCTATGTTACAGTATGTTAGAAGGTGAGGGGCCGGCCCCGTTGCGCAGTGGTTAAGTTCGCACGTTCCGCCTCTCGGCGGCCAGGGGTTCGCCGGTTTGGGATCCCCGGTGAGGACATGGCACTGCTTGGCACACCATGCTGTGGTAGGCGTCCCACATATAAAGTAGAGGAAGATGGGCACGGATGTTAGCTCAGGGCCAGGCTTCCTCAGCAAAAAAGAGGAGGATTGGCAGTAGTTAGCTCAGGGCTAATCTTCCTCAAAAAAAAAAAAAGGTGGTACAACACAGGCAAAGGGGCATGGCGATGGTCTGGGGGACTGGCAGAATGGGCTACATTTTGAAAGTGGGTAATCAGGATAGGTCTTGCTGAGAAGGGGACATTTAAACATACTGAAGGAAGCAAAGGGGTGAGCCGTGTGGCTATCTGAGGGAAGAGCATTCTTGGTAGAGGGAACAACCTATACAAAGGTCCTAAGGCAGGAGGCTGCCTGCTAAGATCAAGGAAGAGCCAGGAGGCCAGGGTGGCTGGTGCAGAGGGCATGAGCAAGGGAGAGAGGTGAGAGGAGAGAAGAGCCGCATCCCCACCTTCTCTTCTTGGTCCTCACTCCACTCCCTATATCTGCAGCATAGGATGCTGCTGCCCTCGCCCCTTTCTTTGTACTTGCCCCTCTCCTGGCTTTCCTGACTCAGTGCCTGCTGGCTCAGGTGGCGCCTTTCTGTCCCGCCCCCCACCCCGGAAACCTGGCCTGCATCTTCAGTCTCTCCTCACTTCTGATAGCCTCTCCCATCTCTTCCCCTTCCCTCCCTCTTTTTCTTCCTATACCCACTCCTCTCTCTCCCTGTCCCTCCCCCTCCCCTTGCAATCTCTCCCATTTCCCTCTATTCCTCCTTCTCAATATTATTATTATTCTCCCAGCTGTCTATTCTCTTCTCCCTATCCCCTCCCTCTCTCAGCACAGTCCTCTCTACTCCAACTTTCTCCCCTTTCCCACCTGTCTTGCCCTGGTCCTTTCCCTCCTTTATCTCACTTTCCTCATCTTCCCCGCAGGCTCCACTCTCCTCCCTCTCCTCCTCCTCCTTTCTCTTTTTCCCCTGCCCCATCTCCCCTCTACTCTGTCCTCCCACCTCAGCCTTCAGTCTCCCTCTCTTGTCTTTCCACTTCCCCCTGTCTCTCTTGTCCTCCTTCTGTCTCTTTCTGTCTCTCTAGCTCAATGTGCTCTCGCTGGCTCTCCCCTACCCCTACCTCTCTCCCTCTGCATGTGTATACGTCAGCCCTGCCCCTCCTCTCTCAGCTCATGAGCTCCCACAGTTTCAACTCACCCCTTCACGCTGATGACTCCCAAATCTGTAGCTCTAGCCCTGACCTCTCTCCTTAGACCCAGACTAGAATTTCCAGCTGCCAACAACTCGCTGTTAATTGGATGTCCACGGAGCCCCTCAGACTCAATGTGTCTCAAACCGAACTCATTATCTGTTCCCATAAACCTGCTCCCCACCCCCCACGCCCAGCATGTTTCCTATCTTAGTTAATAGCACCACCATCCCCTAGCCTGGAAATTTCAGTGTTGTCACCTCCAACTCCTTCTCCCCCCCACGGCCCACATCCAATCAGGAGTCAAGCCTTAATTATACGATCTCCATCCTCTCCTTCTACCCCTCTCGCCACTAGCCTGATGCAGGCCCTCATCATCTCTCACCCAGAATATTACAATAGCCTCTTAACTGGTCCCTCTGCCTCCAATCTCTTGATTCTACAATCAATTCATCTTCTAAAGCACCAGTTCGATCACGTCACTCCCTCCCACCTCCAAAGCTTTCAATAGCTTCCCTCGGTCTTCAGAATCAAGCCTGCATTTCCCAGCACAGCATTCAGGGCCAGCATGACCTGGCCTCAAACCTCCTCTCTAGCCTCCTCTTCGGCCATATCCTACTATTTCCCGGCTGCCCTTGCAGTCTCGGCTCCTGACTGGTCCCTGCATAGCCCATCCAGTTTCAGGACTTTGCTGTTACTTCATCCTGAAACGGCCCCTCCTGTGCCTCCTCTTCCTCTCTTATCCCTCAACGTCTAGCTTAAATGTCATCATGCCATCTCCCCAGGCCCAGCCCCTGGTCAGTTAACCCCTCCCTCTCTGGTTCTCCTCAAACATTTCATTCAAATGTTCCTCAAACCTTCCCACCCCTACCACAGCACTGATTCGCATTCTCCTCTGCAGTGTGGCTGGTTGGGGGCATGGCATGTCTGTCTCTCCCACCAGATCAACCAGCTACTTAAAGTAAGAAATACCGTCTTTTCTGTCTCTGGTTCCTCTGCAGTGTCTTACACATAGTAAGTACTCAGTAAATGCATGTTATGTGGATGTGAATCCTGGATGAGAATTGAGGTGATGACCCTGAGAAATTATAAGAAGCAAAGTCAACCAAAAAAAAAAAAGCGTCCACCATGCTCGCTTACTATAGAAAAGATGTTGTCATTCAATGAGAAAACTACGCATTGTCTACAGCACACCCTTCCCAGCTGCCTGATTCTGTCCCGGTTCATTGTCTTTGGGCTATTTTGCACCTCTGTAAATTGCAGGTAACTGATGGATATGCAAACTCTGTCTTGTCCCATAGAGTTCGGATTGACCTCCCTCCCCGCTGTGGAAAAACCAGTTTTGCCTCCATTTGCAATTCAATTCCTTTACTCCATATAAATTTGTGCTTTTGGACTTTTACTTTGAACCGGCTATAACATCTGTCTGGTTCCTTTGTTGATTAACGAGTAAAATAAAATCTTTAACACGCGTTCATTTTTATATGTACGAGACTCATGATTTCACTTTTTCCTGAAAATTATCTTTAACGTTACTAAGACAGTTATGTGGGTTAACAGATAATTTTAGAAAGATTTCAACAAGGAGTAAGACAAATGGATTGACTGTCTCACATCAGTTCACCAGGACCCCATTCCCTGAACATCCTGCTTAATCAAGTTTTGACTGTTTCTTAGACTATCTTGGAATATCCTAGTTTAAAAAACAACAGCTCAGCAGGTTGGCTGATACACCAGGTACTTTTTTCATCTTTCCTCTCCATGAAGCATTAGAAGACTCAGGCAACGGAAGGAGCTGTTCTCGCCGTAAGATGAATTTCGACACAGGGTATAAGTTTTACCTGCTGCCTGAATATTTGTGGGCAGCAGATATAAGTCAGTCACCATGGCTTTTTCACTCTTAGGTTGATTTTTGTTCTGTTTAGAGGGTATTAGTAGATTTCAGGGCCTGGGACAGAACTCGTGGGGGCGGGGGGGGGGAGGGGCAGTCCCAGCATTTGGAAACAGAACAACATATAAAATAGCATCACCTAGATAAAGAAGCTTTTAGATCCCAAACAAACCCCAAAAACAACAACAACGAAAAGAAAACCAAGTAAAAACCAAAATAATTACTGCACAATACACATTTTATGATTGCCTAGAGAGCAACACTGATACGGGGTATCCCCATTTTCACAAGATCCTGAAGATGGAGCACCTGCTTAAATCTTAGCCTCCCACTCTTACATTATGATTTTCAGCAGAGCAGCACCCCTGCCTATGTGAAGCCCACTGCTACTAATTAACAGTAGCCTTTGTGGAGGAGGGGAGGAGGGGTAGAGAGCACAGGCAGGAGAGCACCAAGCTAAGCGGTCTACACGAGAAGGCAACAACTTGTCCTCCCACACAAGAAAGAAAGAGGTCCTCTCAAGCCAGAGAGTCAGCAAAGTGACCTTCTAAAGAGGCCCTGACAGTATCAATGACCACATAGGATAGGAGGAGTCAAGATGGCCAACATACACCAATGTCTCCCAA